TAGATTTATTTCCACAATATTATACTTAAAAAGCAATCTGTATAATAATTAAGGTAAAATAGATAGGTATAATATTTTTGACATAAACGTTATATTATTATCTATGTAGGTTGTAGGCATACCTATATAACTATTAATTTAAACTATTACATTATATGATAATGTGGTGGTACCATATTATGTTATACATGTAAGTTGATTTTTTTTTTTTTGTAATTATATAGGTACCTACAATAGATAAGTTACCCACTTATGTAGGTATATATTATAATATAGGTAATACTGCAGATTACTATATCAGATACAGCTGTATACCCATATATCACATTGTATGTAGGTATATTATACTTAAGGCGTTCAGCATTAATATTTATAATTAGTATATACCTAGGTAAATAAAAAAAACTTGATTGAAATTCGAATCGCATGAATTTTTAATTCAATGCGGACAATGACATATTTTAGATTCTGCAGGGCGTAGCGAAGAATGTATTGGTTTTAGTGGTTTATGTGTAGGTATATACTATTATTACCTTTATTAATTGTATAAATTGTTTTGTTCCTGCAGTAAACAAATTTTTGATCATGAATTTTGCTCAAATCAAAAACTTTATAGGAACTTTCTGGTAGAAAATTATGTCTTTAAACAACGCATTGCGCAGGTTAATTTTTAGAATCCTCTTGTAGTTGTCTTAATAATAAGGAAAAAACGTCGGAAAACAGGAACACTTAAGTACTATAGCTTCTGTACATTTGTAATTTTGTTGTTATTCAATGAAAAATAATCGTAGAGACCTGAAACTTTCACCGAATACTTATATTAGCACTTTCTAGACGTGGCGCGAATATGGAATTTTCAAAACATTCTGCCGTTTGTTTAGTTATGTGTAGCAATTAAAATTTTTTTTTGATTTTATAGATATATACTCGTAATTATATATGAATTAAATAATTTTTTTAATTTATTTCTATCAGCATTATTGCTAACACATTTCAAATTTATATTGAAATTCCATAAAACACGAATATTTGTAATTTATTATTTTGTCGTTAAATGTGTTTAAATATTTTATTTATTTACTGTTTGACTCAGAATCGGTTTTCATTTACCAAAATATAATGTTATATTATATGTAAACATAACCTACTTTCCCAATTTTCCAACTTCTTACCCGTAATTGTGGCCTACCCATGATGGGTAAGTATTATTGATATTTATAATTATATGTTTATTGTATACTATATTCTAATATTATCACAATATCGAGTTGAAACATAATTATATAGCTACGCCCCACATACAGTGGCGGTTTTGAACTTTTTTCGGGGAGAGATCCTTTGATACCTATATTAACTTACAATGTGTTTAACACACAAAATATATTTACCTAATATTTATTAATTTATTTTAATTGATTTACATATTAAGTTTTTACTTATCTACATAAATGTTCCTATATTTTAATCAACAACAAATTTTAAGTTTAATTTAAAAATTATAACACAAAATCTACTGTTCATAAAACCACCACTGCCTACATAATATATTTATATATCGGTACTTCAATAATATCAAAAATATAAAACTTGAAATGTAAAGATTACATAGGTATACTTGTGTACTGTTTAAAACGCATAATACATAGAGTCGGTTTTTAAACCGTCGAGATATTTAAATGCCGAGGAAATACTATTTTTTTATTCGGATCGTAAAACTGAAGGTCAAGACCGCGCGTATTATATTTGGATGGAATATTTGCATTATATACATTACATAATACATTGTTATAGTCGACATATTTGCGTGTGAGGTATCGTTAAAACGAACATCTTTCGATACAAAAACCGCATTACTTATACCATATAGAAATTATATAATTAATCTTATGCACCCGGTTAACAATATAATAATATAGTGTGCATTGTCTGCAATCCGTATTATTGCCAGTGCCTCGTGTGAGGTCTTGTAAAAACTCGAAAACTGTAAACGACTTTTACGGTTGCGGAGTCGCACAAACGATAATATAGTTGGTGTAGGTATCTTATATAATATATATGTTTTCCGAAGACCCATGTTTTCACGTAGCGATGATTTTGATACATCGGTTTTACTACGATGTGTTTTTTTACCAACTGGTTTACCGCTTTTCTACCTGCACTGTAAATCTTGATCCGATCATCATTCACTTCAGCAATGGTTTCTATATATAGTAGACAATAATGAATAATATTATGAAAAACGAACCTAATTAGAATGGAAAAACTTACGAAATTTTTTTGATCTTGTTTATTTTATAATATAAATGAAATAAACGTAGAGAGATTAAATAATCACCAAATACTTATACAATTTGCTCTTTATAGACGTGATAAAAAAATAATTAAAAAAAAAACCGGGAAAAAACGTAGGAAAAACGGAAAAATGTACAGAATGTATTATTTTAAATTTTGTTTTTGTTATAATTCAGTTAAAAAAATATTCGTAGACTTGAAATCTAGACGTGATGTTAAAATTTTAAAAACGTTTTAGCCATTTTTAAGCAATTTATATATATTTTAATTTTACTAGTTTTTTACATAATTTTCATTCGGTAGGTATTATCTGTGGATGAAATTGTTAGATTAAACAGAAATCCTTGAAAATTTAATAATAGATTCATTATAAGTTGTACTTTGTGATAAAAAAAAAAATTGAATGTGATGTAAAAATTTTTTTTTATACGAATTTGAATATAAAATTTTGTCGAAAATCATAAATATTACGACCTCTTGAAACATGTATGACTGAACTCCGGTCGTTACGTTTTTTCGTTAGCAATGATTAATCTTTGCATACAGATATAAATTAAATTTCCCTCTATATCCTGCCTTCCCAACTCCTCTCCTACAGCAGTAATCCACCTAACGTGCGAAGCAAATGCCCGTTTTTTTAAGATTTTTTTCGTTTTTTGGTTTTATGTGAAGATTATTTCGGCCCGGCCAAAATGCTCGAAGGATACTCGAAGGTTCATCTTAAGTATTTCGCATTAATGTAGACGTTTTTCTTATAAATATTTTTAATTCAAATTTTTACGAAAATCATAAAAATTAAGGCATTTTAAAACATGTTTAACTGAACTTCGCTAATATTCGTTTAGCAATAGTATGGTTTATCGTTGAGTCTTGCGTTTACATAAGTACTCGAAGAAAATTACTCTATTATCCTACGTCCCCCCGGGAGAAACCCCCCCCCTTTAACAGTGTCCTTGAGCAGTATGTATTATGTATTTTTTTTTTGTTTTACTCACTCATATCGACCGCTATTGCATTACGTCACGAAAGTCGTCTTGGTCGGGATTATGTTCACGTAGGTACCTAAACAACACCAAAAAACCTGGTAAACGTATAAAAAATTTAAAATTTAAAAAAATCTATTTATTGTGTGTACTTATATTTTGTTGATTTTATTTTTTATATTGTATGTGAAGTATATTTGTAACGGTTCCCACTATATTATAGTTATTGTTATAAAAAACAAATTGAAATAATTAAAAATCTATAGACAATAAAATTATATTTTCCGATGCCAATAAAATATAAATACTATCAAGCACGTAGCCAGGATTTTTTTCGGAACAGGGGAGGATCCAAACATAAAATTTATCACTAAATACCGATGAGGAAAAATTTAAAATGTAATAGAGTATAAAATCAAAGTACTATCTAATTTTTTGAGAAGAAATTTCGGGGGATTCATATCCCATAACCCTCCCCCAGGGCTACGTGCCTGACTACCTATTTTTTAAAATTACATTTTGTATTATGATATTATAACGTATTTATATAGGTTTTAAAAAAATTTTAAATTTATTTTCCAGCTATCAAAAAATACGCCCGAACTTTTGTATAATTAATTTTATTAAATAAGCTTTTTATCTCTGGGCTTTTTGACCTAGAATAAACTCGATAAACCTATATCCAGTCCAGAGGTGGGGGGGGGTTATTATCAAAAACCCCCGATGTTTTTTAAAAACTTTTAAAAAACTGGTAAATTACATAGAAAAAAAAATTTAAAAAAAATTCAAACTCGATAGCTAATAACAATAGATAAGTATCTTCAATGGTATCTTTGTAAAAGATTCCAGTTGGTCTTTCTCCGCATCCAGCGTGTTGGCCAAGTGCCTGAATACGTTCGTGGCCTGCCCAGACGATCCCGTTCAAGTGTCGTACACAGATATTCTCATTGAGGGAGATTGAGCTACATTCAAAAATGTACTCTATAATATGCACCTATATAGAGATTTTTCTTTTCTGTACTATAATATTTAATTTTCCGGGTTTTCTCCCCAATTCGTCAATCGGCCTCTTCAGAAGACATATGCGTGTACTTATATCGACAACATGTTTAATTTATTATAATCTGTCTTGATAATAATTAAAAAGAAGATTATACAGTTCTATAAATATCCGTCGATTGTCGACCAGTCGGATTACGTTCGCTATGATACTTTGATCCTAAACACTAATCAGTATAATCTTCTCATATAATTTCAAATGTCAAATATCTAATAATAATTTCGGCGGTAACGGCTATCCATCGTAAATTAATTATCGAAACTCGAATGCAGTGATGACGGAAATAGGTAATTCGTATTAATATGTTAGGAAAATAAATATTATTAACTTTTTTTACATTAAACATATATTTAAAAATGTACAAGGGGTGAGGTTTGAACACCCGACCAATCTCCCGGTTATACTCCGCTATTCCGTTAGGATTTGGGCAGCGAGACTCGTTTCTAAGTTTCTAACGCATGTCAAAACGTGAAACAGCCAAAACGTAACAAACAAGATTTTGTGTTTTTTGTTCGTCGCACAAAACAGATTCATTATAAAAATATTGTTGTTTCGTTATATAACACCAGTACAAAAACGCGTAGTTGTAAACAGGTAAAACGACAGCGGTGACGGACATGCGATCGCGACACGGTGGCCGGGCGGCGGGACATAATTACGTGTTGCCGGACGAGGGGTTACCGCGCGATCGTTGAATCGGCGATCACGATTGGAGCAGAATGACGTCACTGCGAGCCGCTGGCCAATGAGAACGCGCGACACGTTATCTCCAGTGAAATACTTTCACGTCGCCACTGCGGTACCGCACCCGCTCGCAGTACTTCACTGATCGTTCGACAACACTGAATTTGTTCGCGTCTAGTCAATCATTCTATAGCACCGGTCCATCCACAAATAGTTCGCCAACAAAGCATCTCTAAACAGCCGACGATAACCACGGGCAAACATAATAATAATATTATTATTATTGTTTTGAAATATTTTTTCCCCCGGTTTTACACACGAATATAACGTTTTTTTCAAAGTTAAATTCTTTTTTTCCCTCCCACGCACACACGTTTCACCGATTTGCGTCGCAATTTGCATGCAATTCAGGTAAGCCATACTTTATACGGGTATATTATTACTTATTCTATTTTTTGGTAGATACCTATAATAAAATTACTTGTAGTTAAATGATACGTTTTGAAAACCGTACTTTCCTAAAGCGGAGTGGCACTCCAAGTATCTTATATTAATGATTATTGTACTCGACAGAATTTGTCGCGGCTTAGTGGCACTCCACCGACGATAGTCGTTATCTATTTAATGTTTCTGAAGTCAATTCTTGTCATAAGTACATTAAAATATCGTATGTGCGTTTCGTTTTGTGTTTTATTACCAAAATAAACTTACGGTAATAATATTTTTAAGACTAATGTGTGGGAGTGGGACTATGGACTTTGCTATGTTAAATGATCGAAGGTGAACCTATAAAAGATAATGATTTAAAACTGTTTATTTGAACGTAATCAATAGTGTGACGGAAGTTGGGTATTTTACACAAAAACTTACTAATATGCTGATGTGTTAAAGATAATATTATGATAAATATCCTTGAAACTAATTTCAAGGCCAAAATTAAATTATACATCTAAGCATTTTTGGATGACAAGACTATTATGTAATTTTTAGATTTATGAAAGATAATGAAATAATTTGTTTATGGCGTTTTTTAATAATATTTGATTACAGTATAAGTGATTTGTACTTCTAGATTTTTAAACTTTTTGCTAATATCAATGTTTATGAATTATGAACAGATAAAAAGATACTTATAATGATTGATTTGTTTTGGATTTCAGTTAAACTTAAAAATCTTGTTGTTTTACACTAATGAAGTAGATATTTAATCTATATTATTATAATTTGTTATCAAAAATTAATTAGTATACACATTTATTAGTTACTGTTTCTCTATATAACAGGCACAATATAGTTAAATTTCTATTTTACTGGGTAGATTAAATTTAAATGTTACACATTGAAAACCTAATATTATTTTTTAGGGGCCCACATTTTAATTGTCTTTTTGTATAATTCAATAAAATAGTTAGCTATCTAAGGATTTAACTATGATATTTGTGTTCAGAATTTTAACTTAATTTCCTACCCATCAGAATAATATTTTCTTTGTGGTGTAATCTTACTCTGTTGTCTATTGGATAGGTGGAGAGTGTAATGGACATAATGGTATAGGTATAATATTGATGTAAAATAGTATAAATAGATGACTAGGTATTTTTCAAATTCTGAAATTATTAAGTTTTATTTATTGGGCATAATATTATAATATATAACCTGTACAATATAGGCCCATAGATAATATTATTATATAGATATATTGGTTTTTTAAGAGTACGGTTTTGAGATAATGTGAATTTAATTATAAATTGTAATTGTATTGTTTATAGGTGAACTTTAACTACCGTCTCCTGTAAAAGGGAGGTAATACTGTTGTGAATCGAAACCACCATTACTTTTGTAAGCACCAAAGCTAATCCAAAAGTAAGTATTAATTAAACATTTTTACTTTTTATAAATAGATGCATAAATATTAATAATTTTTTAAGACCAAGCCACCATGTTCTACTGCATCCAAAACTGTGTCGTCTTTATGTCCTGTCGAGAAAACCGGCACCCCACACGTGAACAACCAAACAATTTCATCGTCAACACTTCAACCGGTCTTGGCTATCAATTTAAGTTCACTAATGTCCGATGCACCCATCAAAATGGAGGGCTTAGTGGATGAATTTTTAAACATGTGTGCAAACGGTAATAAAATACATTTTACTTGTTGTTTGTAATCAGTTTGATAACTAACACATTATGATTAAGTACGACCTGCCTTAAATGGCTTATTAGTATTGCTTATTTTTTTAACCTTTTTCCTAGATATTAACAATTTCTTAATAATTCATGACAACTATATACAATTTGTATTTAATAATGTTTAATACATTTTGTAGAAAAAAATAAATGCGATAGACAAGCACTCGGGATTACAAATTCAAGTAACAGCACTAATGACATAACAATGTACAGAGAAGATGAGCCATATTTAGACATGTTTCAAATGGTGGACGCGCCAGTAGCGCCTTTCCCGACAACACAAAATGTTTTCACAATCAATGACGACTTTCAGAAGATTACCGAACTAGAGGTCAAACCAACTGTTCTTTCAGAGAATACAGCTTTTAAACAGCCAATATCGACAAGAAAAAACTCAACACTGAAATTAGATGTAGGGTTAAAACCAGTTCTGTCAACAAGTTATGGCGACATATTAAATACACCAGAAGTAGTAAAAACTTTGACAGAACAAGAATCTTCTTTTAATCTTTTAGCTTATGTTTGTGATGTAAGTTTACTATAAAATCAGATTTACAAATGTTTCTATATTTACTTTTTTTTTTTTTAGGATAAAAATCCAGACAATCTAGCCGAAATTCCTACACCCAAGAATGTAACAAATGTTTCACCTACCTCTCAGTGGTCTCGAAAACGACGCAGTAGTAATTCGTCAGCTTCTGTTCAAACTGACGATGACGATTATCCAAAGCATAGGAAGCCTAATGAAGATTATCATTCATCAGATGACAAATATAGACAACTGAGAGATCGTAATAATGAAGCTTCACGCAAGTCTAGGGCCACAAGAAAAGCTAGAGAGAATGAGCTGAACAGCAGTTTCAGTCAACTGGAAGCAATCAACAGAAGGTTGACAATCAAAGCGGAAGAATTGGAAAAAATGGTCAATGATATGAGACAAGCTTTACTAAAAATTATGACAAAGAATAAATAATATTTATTAAAAAATTAAAAAAAATGTAACCCTCCTTATTATGCTTATATAAATAAAAACAAATCTCATCAGGCTCATAGTACAGTTATATAATATACCCTGTGTGCTTATTTTGTAAACATAGCAAAAAAAAAAAAAATTAATAAATAATAATTCCAAACAGTAAATAAGTTATTATTATTATTATTTATTTATTATTTACACAATTAAGTTTTGGATTACAGTAGTATTAATTTATGTTATAATTTTTAAATTTAAATATTTTTTTATTACTGCATCTTAGCATTATAGCAAATATAAGTTGAATTTTGAATCATAGTATTTTGGCATTAATTATTAATCAGTCATCAATTAAAATATTAATAATAGGAAGATTATGCATTCCTAATAAAAATTAAACCTTTACTGAAATTTCTTAATTAGGATTTTTCAATTTTATTATCATCAATTAAATTTAAATTCCTATTTAATTTAGTTATATCTGTTACATCATTCTTATTTTTTTTATCTCGCAATTGAATTAGCCAAATTAGCTAGTTTTATTTATTATTTTACATTTCTACCAATAATTGGATTTTTTTTTTTAATTTCAATGTTATTGATTTACTACTATAAGAATTCTAATTGTATATTTGAGTATTATAATGGCTCAAGTAACTTTCAACAAAAATTGTAAGGCAATCAATTATATTTTATCTCATTAAAGTATTAAAATTTAATAGGTTTCTTCTACTGTGAAATAAAAAAAAACTTTTGCTTATCTACTTAGAAGGCAGGTATTTGACTTAATTCAAAATGTTGTCCTACTTACAGCTCTTTTAAAATTATACGGTTTTAACCGTACAGCAAAAATTTGAAACCGTATAATGTGGAAACATGCATTTATTCATGTACGCTACTATGCTTATCACGTCAAATAGCTTGATAATTACACACTATAATGATAATAGATCGTTGCTACACAGCACAGCAATCACATTTTGATGTTACTGTATAATGTCAAAGAATATACTCTTCCACATTCACAGCTCTTCTTAGCGCCACTAAATTAAAATTGCTGTATGGTCACAACTGTATAATGTGAAAAGGGTCTTAAAGATTTACTTTCTGTAATAAAAAATGTCTTACCTGTTCCAATTAATATTTTTATTTAGGTGAACTCATTTTGAATCTTTGATGTAATTAATGTATTTAAAACTACAGTTTGGGTAGCTGATATACACAAATCTGAAAGCAAATATAAATTTAAATCAAAGCTTTTATTTAAATTAATTAATGTCTATAATTTCTACATAATATTAAAATAATTTTTATTGCTTCAGTTTTAAATAAATATAAGGGTTAGAATTCCTAAATCATGCCTGACAAATTTGAGTAACAAACAATAAACAGACTTGTTTAACTTTAATGAATATAATAAATAATATAAGAGTGATAAATTGTAAACCAATAAATACTTGAATAATTGGTGAATAATAAATTACATTCTTTAAAGTTATAAACAATTTGTTAACAACAAAATTGTATTACTATTATTATTATTTGTTTTAAAAATGCTCAAGACAAAAACAATGTAAATTAAATTGCAACTTTCCAAAAATTTAAGTGCAAAACCATTATTTATCATAAATTAATAAAGATTATACCTAGTAATTGAAAAGTTAATTTATTGAAATATATTAAATAGTTTTTAAAATTATCACAGCCCATTCATAAATTCACAAATTATTATGTTTTTACAGACCTATCTATAGATGGAATTAGTTCAGTGGATTAAAAATTAATAAATTATTGAAAATAAAATTTCAGTTGAAAGTTTAATATGTAAATTTAAATAGATTAATAGAAGAATAAAACTGATTTTAACAAATTACATATAACATAAGGTAGTTTGGGAAATTAACATATTCTTTCGACTTGATATTTTATTTTGGCACTAATTTTGTTTTAAAGTATGTTATATGCCTCTATACATTGAAGTTCGTTTATCTTTGTTAGTGTTATTTAAGACAAAAATTAATAAACTAACTCTTTTAAATGTATAGATTAATACTTATTATTCATACAAAATTATTGCTTAGGTATTTTACTTATTTTGGATAAAATTTTAAATGTTGTTACATTTTAATAAAAATAATTTAATTATGTAGCATTCCATTACACTATTTTTTTACAACAGATATGAATTAATATTACACATACATTAGTATAAATTTAATTTACTTTTTTTTATTCGAAATATACACCTATACTATCAAGTAAAGTATTCCAATGATTTTCAGATAAAGTCCCAAAACTTGGTATTAGTGAATAGTTGTATGTTAAGCATTAGGTATTTAACAAGAGCAAAGCCTTATTTTGAATAAAGAGCACGTAAATCATTGCTAATAATTAACAAAACCAACAACCTTTTGAAATATTTTACAATGGCACTGAGTCAATGACTACACATTTCTTTCAGTAACAACTAATGATTATTAAAGAAATAATATTTTACTCATCACATATTATCCTAATTTCAGATATGAAATATGTGTAGGGATACTAAATAACAAACAATAATTATTTTTTTAAATTTTAAATATATATATATATATATATATGTTTATAACTTTATTGTTAACAATCTTTAATTCTTTTAACAGAAATCAAGTCTTTAAGGTAACATACACTATACACAGTTTGACACAAAACATAATATAATGAATGCATGAATCTAAGAGCTTTCAATAGGCTCTAGTTCTATAAACATTCAGCTAAACAAAACTGTACTAAAAAATTTGTTTTAAAAAAATATACACATTACACAACTGAAAACAATTTGTGTAAGTATAGTGATCTAAAATAATTAAAATTTCAATTGAAAATTACAAATGAAACAAATAAAAATAAAATTAATAAAAATCAAGCGACAAAAACATTTAATATATGACGACTGACTTTTGGAACTCCTGGTAATTTTCAACTATATAGGAATACAATTTTTTTTTAACCTCTCATTGATTCTACGTTTCGACAATGGGAGGTTCTGTGTTGGACGGAGGAGGTTTAGTGATGACTAACGTTTTAGGTGGCAAATTTGCATCTGCCGTAGTACGAGGCACGTGTTTTAATGTAACAGCACGGATAGGCACTGTATCGGGTGAAAGTGGCGTGGCAGGCACTTGTATAGTTTCGCCGTTGTGCATTGTTAGCCATGTCATCTTGGTGCCAGCATGCATACTGTTTGCATGCGACTTGAGTCCTTGAATAGACACATAACTCTTACCACAGTGACATTTGTACTTCTTGTGAATTCTGCAATGATTTATTAAGTGTGTGTTTTATTATGCGAAACATGGAAGGTAAGCAGTGGTGTAGTCAGAATTTCTCACTGGGAAGAGAGGCAGAAATGTAAGAACACTGTGGATTTTGCGAACATGGTTATTATCCTGTACAGAAAATATTGTAGGCTACTGTTGTAGATGGAAAGTTAGAAAGAAAGATATATAGGGTAACCTAATTTATATCTGTATGCAATTATAATAAATCATTATTGTAAGAAGAATAATTTTGAAGAATGTTTTGAGTTTTTATATTCTCAATACACTGGAAATTGTATTAATTTGTAACCAATTACAAAATAAATTTTAAATATTTGATCATTTTCAAAGAGTCAAAAAAAAAAAGATTTGTTCATAAATATCGGAAAATATAATTTAAATGTGGTGATCTTTAAGACTAACCTTTACTAAAAAATTAATAGTGTGTAATAATGTTTGATATTTTATTTGTCATAAGAATATCTGATGTTAAATTTTTTTCGAGCCTTTTTGAAAAACTAAAAATATGTATGGTTAACACATTGTTTAGCTAAATAATAATTAAAAAAAAAAAAACTAGAAAATTTGAAATAACTATAAATAAATCTGATATCGCTAGAATTTTTTCGAAATTTCATTACACCTAGAAAGAGATAATAATAACTAACAAGTAATAAGTATTCAGTGAATATTTTAGGTCTTTACTGTTATTTCTAATTAAATTACAATAAAAAATAAAAATCGAAAATAACAGAAATCATAATGAAAATATCTACAAGAGAAATCAAAAAATGGCATTCTCAATCGATTCACCAATTTAAAAAAATCTTTCTTGACAATATTCAATTGCAGTAAGATTTCTAACAGGAAACTTATTGAAAAAAAATAAAAAATAAAATCATGGTACCAACAAATAAAACAATTCATTCCTCGCTACAAAAATAACATAAACACAAAAATATTGATACATATATTTAAAAAAGACATTGTAGAGGGGGTAGGGAGTATGGACTCAATGTTACGCCAATTGGTAACAGTAATTGTCAACTAATATCAATATTACTCACTTTCCATTGGTATGCCCATTTTTCACGTGGTACTTTATCCCATTAACGTTTTTATACCTTTTGGTACAACCAGGAACAGGGCACGCAAATGGTCTTATTGGCTGTTCACTTTTAGTTTTTTGTTGCAAACTAATAAACACAATGTATATTTTGAATGTATATATTTCATATGCACAACATATCAATACAATTATAAATAATATAGTATTATATCGCACTTAGGACTGTTTTTGTGAGCATCATCAATTGCATCCGACGTAGTAGACCAAGAATCACTGCTGTCACCGATATGATCAAGATTTTCAACCTCTCCCTTATCAGATTCATAACCTGAAAGAAACATACATAAATACAATTAAACAATAAAACGATTAATATTTAGTATAATACCAGTTCGTAATGGTCGATGGAATATGTTTGGAGTTGATGGTAAAATACTGGTTTTCGGCTGTATGACAGGTTCGGCTGGTTCGATAACTGTTTTGTCGACATTTTCGCCGAAAAACCTCATAACACAACTGAGCGGCAAGCATTGTTGTTCAGTGCGATCGATCAGCTCAATCGGTTTCGGATCAGTATCTATGTGTCAAATCCAAATGAATATTATACAAATCTAAACATCCGAAATATTAATAAAACATTAGATTATGACTGTTATAAATGAAGTAATAATTGAAAATTTTAAACAAATATTCTGAATAATTATTAAGCTGGTGATTACTCAATTAGTTTTTTTAAAAAAATTAATACATTACCTATTTGTTCTTATAAATAATTTACAAAAATAAAAATATAACGCAATTGTTATAAAACATTCGATAGACAAAATATTTGACTACTGCAATTATATATTTGTATTTCATTAATAGTGTCCAACCAAAAATCTCAAATCAGTGTAGATAATAACACAAATTACACAAAATTAAAAACCAACATAAATATTGTACTAATGAACTTTAAGAATTAAAATTTGTTGTTAAGTTTCTAAAACAAATTTCTATGAATTTATAATCTCATACTCGAATAATTATTGGTATTTATAAAACAATACATATTTAGTTGTTTTCTAAAATTGATTATCTTCCATTTAATAAATAAATATAAATAAACTCTTACTATCAAAATTGTTTTGTAAAAGTATGTACAACTTAGCATAATCGCAGATTGTAATTAATTTGTATGTTTTTTGCCAATACAAATTATTATGAATGAAAGCATAAAAAATATGTATCACTATATTATGTCCTAAATCTACACCCTCATTAAATTAGAAGTACTATAAGATGAATATTGTTAACAGTAACTATAACAGTTTAAATTAATTCAACCAATAAAATCATTACTGAAATTTGATTTTATTAATTTATATTGTCTTGTACATGAAAGATTTCTCATACTAATAAACAATATGAAATAGATGAAGCCTGGACAACTTAGCGCTGGTATGGTCAGTGGTCATTTATAGTTGGCTGGACTATTAGTTTATAATATTGTTATCAGTAAGCATAAATCTTATTAGGAAACTATACTAAAAATCTAAATTCGGTGATTTATTTGTTTTTTATAAACAAATAAGGTATAAATAGACAAAACATAATTAATTCAGAAATGTACAAATGGAATACTAGACTATAATTCGGTGGGTGAAGCAAATGTCCAAAACGTTACACTGCTTTTAGAAAGGCAGCAAAATGTTTGCAAGGTACATTTGAACGAGTACAAAAATCTAGTGTCGAGAACAGAAATCAGAGGAAACGGGTACACGCCACCGGGAGTGCCTAACCTTAGGGAGGATCTAAATTTAAATCGAATTGCAACTAGGTCGCAAGTGTGACAACTCTACGGGAACGGCGGTCGGTCCGTCAGTATAAATAGTTTACCGAAAGGTCATGAGAAAAAGAAATATATATTTATTATATTTACGACGTGTGCAGTATATATATATATATAAATTATAGGTGTATCGGGGCAAAACGCGTTCGGCCGCATGTAACGGTGACGACAGCCCGACAGACTAAACGGCACGCGGTCGTCCGCCCTAAAGCGTATTGTTTTGGCTTTGTTTTTTCGTGCTTTACCTATGTGATTGTCTTCAATGTGCTGGATGAGATCGTATAAATTTTTGAAACACAGGCCGCAGTTGTTGAATTTACATTCGTTTAACAGGAATACGGCCATTTATCCAGCAGCTGAACGAAAGTCACAAGGGCCCGGGCGGTGTTAACAGTGCGGTTATCAGCTGATCACTACCGCCGCCGGACTGTGCGCCCCCTCTCCACCACCTCGTCGGTGGCGCACAACACAGCTGTGGCGGCGACGGCGGTGGTGGCGGTGTCTCGACTCCCGGACGCCTTGGCTCTTGCCGTTCGCCCCGCGACTCACGTTCGTACACGGCGCGGCGGCGGCGGCGGCTGCGGCGGTGGCGGTGGCGGTGGCGGTGGCGGTCCGAGTGTCGCGGCAGTGGCTGAACAATATTCTATTCACGAAACACAATTAACGATATTATTAGTAATAATCATCGTTTAACATTGTTACGAATATTATGTACTACGTACATTTTCGATAAACGCGATAATTAGTTCCGTTTTTGCAGCCGACGCACCGTGTATTTCAAATAATGCGGGTGGTACGGGCCTAAACGTTATTACCGCCCGCGAACGGCTTTTTTCGCACGTCCGGAAAACTCGGGACAGACTGCGCGACAATCAAACGCGAACGGTTTTCGCGGTTTCTATTTCCCGGTCCCGTAGGCCGTCTCGGTGACGGGCGATTTCGAGTTTGGGTCTCACTGGTCGTCGCAATAGTTTAATCTTTTTTTTCTACGAGTTGCGTGCTCGGCGTTGACCTCGAGCGAGCGATACACTCGGTCTCGGCGCGGTGGGGACGACGTCGACCGAAACGCAAAACCTAAATAACAATAATTATTATCGTTATTGCCGTTTGCCAACGGCTTTTTTCTCTCTATATATAATACAATACTATTTTAGGTTTTTTTTTTTTTTCCTCTCCAGTTTTTCTATTCTCATACGAACTTTGCCGCCCGGCTGCGTCGCGTTAATATTCGACGGCTTCGCGGGGCACCGGGGCGTCGTCGGCGGTCCGGCCGATGATTAGGTAACACGGGAAAACGCCGCGCCGCTTCTTTTTCTTCTTAGATTCGGTACCGCGACAACAACAATAACTATGATGACAATAATAATTACAATAGTGTTATAATACCCGATGGAATATAATATCGCGTGATAATATTTCCAGAGTCTTCTCTCTGTCGACGGGCAGGAATATTTTCGTACTGGCAGCGCCGCGGCCGTTATGACCCAATTCCGTATCGAACCGAATATAACAGTATAATTTATTACGTGTATGATGTAGGCCGGCACCAAGGTCGATTCGTCGTAATAACGTAATAACAATAATGTAACATCGATCGTCGGTTGTTTTTTTTTTTTTTCTGTCTCTCGGATATCTTATCGTAAAGCGCGCATTATACGCGAACTGCGAACGTCCGACATAATAATACTGTAATGGAACATAATATTACACGCTCGATACGGTTTCCTTATCGAATTATGTCGATATTGAAAATCGAAACAATATATTCTCGTAAACGAAACGAGATTATTACGCGTTCCTAGAGATTACGACGTGATAATTGCTATTAACACGCGAGCGTAGTATCATCCGTGCACCACACAATATTACTATAAATGGCATTCAGCTTCTATTCAGTCCGGTATGCGAACGTTATTATTTACCAGTGGTAATTCGACACGCGGGTTACCGCGGTAAGTCTGTCCCCGTATTAACCGGAATATTAGGTTCGGTCATCATAATAATTGTTGTACAAATATTGTTACGCACGTTCGCGACCACAATAACCGTATGCTCTATATATCATTTGAAAACGTGGTTTTTTTTTTTTTTTTTTTCCTCCACAAGAAAGTACTGCGAGTCAGGTCAAGTCGAAAATCGTTACTAAATATTATACAGAATCGCGATGAGTTCATCGATTGTTATTATCGTTGGTTATAAATTATAGACGGTCCATAAAAACGTTTATAACATTAATCGGTATAATCGTTTCACAAATGGCGACTGTTTACACCGATAACCTACCGCGTTGTACACTTTACACGATTGACCACGGACCTTCTGCAAAGAAACCTATAATGTCCCAATAGCCTTTAAAACCAGCTCGCGGCTGAAAGTCGAACGACCCGAAGGTCGAACACCCCTTTACGTAGGTGCCCGTCTCCGCCGTCGACAGTGTTATTATTTGCACGGACGGAGTACCCCTCGCGATCGTGTAGAGATCAAAAACACGCGCAACACGAAATCGCGCCCGTTATACTTTAAGATTTTATTCGCGCGGATATCGGGACGAATTACCGATTTCCAACACCGGTATCGTGTCGTTGTGCCCGCTCATACCTGTACAACAGTCCGACCCGCAATTGGGTTTTGTAATGGATTTCTTTTTTTTTTTTCGTCGTATAAACGTGATTATATTGGGACGGACGACCTTAGTTTTTGATTTGCAGCCAAGAGGGCTTTGCCTGCAAACGGCCTGTGCGACGGGATTTTCGATAATAACGTATTGGTGCCTGGCGCAGTACTCGAGTCTTAAATCTCTCAATTCGCGAGTGCGTTCGGTATAAATTATATTATCGGATTGGGTACATCACGCATTATTACGATAATTGGTGATGAATGAATTTTTTTTTTTTTCTCTCTAATATACGCGAAGGTCGCGGAATCGAAATTATCGAGGTATTTTTACGCGGATCGCATTATTAATGCGGATCCATTGTCGTTGATATTTTAAAATATTATAATCATATACGCCTACCTATATTGTTTAAACTTGACGTTATACAATTTTCACAAAAAATATTGTAATTTAATACTTACATAAGATAATTGAGTATTACTTCTTGGTAACTGATAAAAAATTTTGTTTTAGTGGAATTGAACAGCGTTGCGGAATTTTTTTTCCCGAAAATAATATTACATTGATCGATGATTTGATATATTGATTGGTGATAAACGGTAATGATTATAGTTCGGTTAGGATGCAATCAGTGCTCGAATTGAACAAAACAAAATAAAATCAAAGGAAAAATTGATTTTGTTTATTTAGAATAGGTTTATATGATTTTACCCCACGGAGGGTAAAAGCTCTAATAATATTAATAGGTACCCGCTATACAACGCTGACTAAATACTATTATACCTAAATAGGTGCAATATACAAAATACAATTGAGTAAGTAATCAGTAGCTGACCTAGAGCTAATTTAAGGAAGAGGTAAACTGAAAAAAATGTCGTTGGTCAATTTTTTTAAAATACACTTTACATGCAGTTTAATATACTTAATTTATTTTTATATTGAATTCGTTTCATGTCAGTAAACAACTTTTCTACCATAATTCTTGCTCTAATCAAAAAATGACAAGAAAGCTTTTTTTAGAATATAATTTTATGTTGGTACTTTAAAGAAGTTAACTTTTTATTTTCCATGTAGTTTTCATATAGGTACTCATATAATTGACAAAAAAAAAAACGGAAACGGTTAATGGCAGTAACGATTTCGTTATTTTGTTGTCATAATGTCATCTGTTTAACTATAATGTTAGATGATTGTCATAATATTCTGTAGATTCATTTATATCATTAATCTGTGGTCGAAATCGCGCCTATGCCGACCGTATAAAATTACGATGATGTTATAGTCACCGTTGTGGCCGTCTTGTTTAATATCTAAATTATAATATGTTCATGGTCGTAATATATTAATAATTATTTTTCATTTGATAACAGTTGTGGAATAGCCACGGATTTATAAAACAGCTACATAGATGGCCGACTTTATAATACGAGTGAAGCAAAGGTAGCCAACAGGGCAATGAAAAACGAAACATCAATATTGTGATAAGAATTTTGTTAATTGATAATCAAAATAGTGTTAATCCATTAAGTAACCGAATGTTCAATTAATGATTGCAAAGTTTAAAAGTTATTTTCAAAAATGTACACACCACAAATTTTAACACCATAGTTAATAATTTAATATTATAATGCATTTATTAGTATGCATAAGTTATTGTAGGTATTATGTATTATTTATAAATATTAAATATAATCAAAATAAATCTATCGATAACATAGGTAGGTGTCTATGTAGGATATCTGCTCTGTTGTGCAATAACAATTAAAATTTCATTAATTTTAAAATATAATAATTGTTGTCTACTTGTGTTTTTGATTTACTGGATTTAATACATCAGAAAAAAAACATTTTTCAGAATGATTTTATTCTTATTTTAAAGAACTTTTTTGTTATTAGAGTGATTATTATTGATTTGTGTGGTCGTTCAAGAAGAGTTAAATTGTTGAAATTTTATTCTGGAAATAAATTTTTGTGAAATGAAAAAATTTTGATAGCATGCTAAATTATTTTTACTTCTAGTTATGAAATAAGAAGAGATTTAAAGGTTAATACGTTTTGGATGTATTACTTCAAATGTTGAGCCAGGTGAAAAAGACGAAACCGTTGAATCTTTTAAATGCAACCTATAACTTCCACTCAAGCTAATTTTAAAGTCTGATGACAAAAAATGTTCACAATATTGTTTTATTTATCTACGTGACATAGGTACATACACAATGCCATTGAGCAATAAGAAATATAATATAAATGTAAAAACTCCAAGATGGTCTAAAAAATCACGTATGTAAAAATAATGATCTTTGTAATGATACTGATAATTTATTTAAAATTACAATATTTATTCTGTTCTAAAACACATTCCTTCAAGGTATTGCAAATCGGTTTGTTAACCACAAACATATTTTTAGTGAATGAATTATAAATTTGAAGTTCAAGATGAAGTAAATATAAATGATATTGAAAAATGTACAGAGTTGTATAATGAAGATTTGAAACACATTTGTCTAGTTTATCAAGAAGTGAAAATGTGGCACTCTTTTCAAAAATTATGAATAAACTTATTCATATTTTAGTGTATTTAAATTTTTGTGATAAAATTATGTATCCAAATGTTCATAAAATAATTAAAATATTAGCAACATTACCAGTGACTACATACAGTACATGTATAACTAAAACTGCATTTTTCACTCTTCATAGATTAAAGATTTATTTGCGTAACACAATGGTCAAAATAGATTAAATGGTTCGGCTTCATTAAATATTCATTGGCAAATACCAGTAATATCAAAAGAAATTTAAAATGGATTAACCAAGACAAAAAAGAAATTAGAATCTGTGATTTAATTTTTAGGTGTTTTTATAATTTGCATGGTGTTAATATATAGTGTCTGTTTTTTATTAATAAAAATGTGCTTTAATAGCTTAGCTTATATTTTGTAACTTTTGGTAGTTGACATTTCTTCATATTTGGAGTACTTTATAAGACTGAAGGTATTGAAGGTTAAAAAGATAGACTGATATAATAAAACTAATTTTTAATATTTTAATTATCAGTAAATACCTTTACATTAATAATATAGTATTCATAAATCTAAATATTAGTAAAAACAGTATAATAGGTACTGTTTAAGTGAAGCTAAGTCACTTATATACATTTTGAACATCAATAATATGAGTAAATTGCTTTAATAATCTTGGTTACAGTAGATAATTATTATTTCTCTTACAATTTTTATAAATTTCCAAAACTGCCTAATGTGGATTATCTATGAAGGAATTCAGTGTTCAAGTTATAATAATTAGCATAACAAGTTTTACTCATTTTTTTACATCAAGAATTCAAAAACAGTGAATAATAAGTAGGTATATAGGTAGTTATTTACATTATAAGTAGATTTAAACTTTTTATGACCTAATTTTTTATTCTTTAATAACTTAAATAGGTAGGTAATTCATAATTTACTATAGATCATTTTTTATGAGATAATTTAGGTATATGCTCATTTATATTATAGAAAATATTATAAAACTTATAGACCGAATAATCGATACAATTAGATAGAAATAGAGTCCAAATCTACCTTCAATAATGTAATATTAATAGACACAAAGTATACGAATCTACCTGATGAAAATTTGACACACATCAAGATATTAAGTCTAGTACCTACTTAGCAAATTGTTTTAAATTATAACCTATATGAGACTTAAAATACATTAGCATCCTATACAATTATTTAAATCAAAATAACCCATGGGGTTTTGTCCTCTACTGATTTTTTATGTGTATATATATATAAAAACAAACAATCAAAAAAACTCCTGCAGGCTATATGATTATGCATAAATGTTGATTTATTTTATGTCATTATTAATATTATATTATATAGGTAATAGCTATTTATTTTTATAAAATTGTTTTTTATTTTTGTAAGAACAAATTATGGTGTTTAATTTTTGATTAAGTTAGGTCATAATTTAGGTGGGTACTTTATTACCACACAGGGCAAAAGTACAACACAGAAAATATAATAAATGTTAATAATTTTAAATTTGAAGATACTTAATAACCATGATTATTTTTATTAAAATATTTATAATTTTGAATATATATGATATATTTGCTGAGAAAATATATTTTTTGATTTTTTTTTTTTTTAAATACATACAATTAGAGGTCCTAAAAAAAAAAAATACGAAAATAGTTTTCTAAAAACTGTACGGACAATACATAGTTTGTTTCATAGCTATAGGGTAGGTACTTATTATTTAACACAAACATGTAATTAATGTAATTAACATACAGTATTGTTTTATTGATTTTACAAATTTTAATTTGTTTATATTTCTATATAGGTACCTACGTGATATGATATTATAATTTATTGACGTCAAATAATTGTAATTCTCGTATATTTTACAAAACATATTTATAGTACCAACCTAAACTCGTTTTAATTATTTAAATAGATATATTAATTATTGAAATTTACTGAGACATTGTTTACTGAACATTTGATAATTATATCTCGTATAGGGTATGTATAGCGCGATCTATAGGACAATTGTAATGTTCGTAACAACGGGTAAAAATAAATAATACCGATATAATCTGGATTTTGAACTGGACGGAGAAAAGGCTAAAGACTTTTTGATCGAATCGTGGGTCAAAGTAAGGGAAGATTTGGCGGTTGCAAACCTCAAAAATTTTGAAATTTGTTTTAATTAAACTATTACCATCTATCATTCCAGCGACCTCAAATACCTTCATAAATGTAGCCTAGTTTACCCATATAGTGCCCCTCTACCAATCGGAAATCGTATTTTTTTAAATTTTAAAAACTTATTTTCTTCTTGTGTAGTATACTAATTTATTTTCAATACAGAAAACATAAAATATAAACTAAAATAATTCTCAGCGGTGATGAGTCAATAATGTTAATATCAGGCACGGCTTCAGAGACTTACTAGGGGGGGGGAGCATTATTTTTATCACTAAATTGTAGAGGCGGCTCAGACGAATCGGAATACCGTGGTGTATTGATACACCTTTGAGAACACTTAAAGACGATTACAAATGTACTTAATTTCTCCATTGTATTCATTATGTAGCTGAACACACGCCGTCCGTTAGATACACTACTACGGTACTGAAAAAAGTTGATTACTGTTACAACTTACGAAATGATAATTCGGTGAATTTCGATATAAATATGATTAGCCATTAGTTATAGCCAGTTATGGTCGTATACTCGCTGTCATGGTGAAATCACAAAACAGGTATATTATAAAAATACTATTGTTATAATTATTATTTTAATTTTTGGTTGATTACGAAAACATAGTTTATTTACTATTTATACCCTCTACTAAAACATTAGGTGGCTAGACAATGCACTTGAGAACATTACATTTATATCTAATAATGGTATTGTCATAACTAAAGACCGGATTTAATTGATATTGCAACATTTTTTGCAATAAAAATAAATCGGATGTGATTAAATATATAACCGATATATACTAAAAATATTCTGACTATTTAATTTTATAATGCAATTTTTTGCAGTTTTCCTACGTTTTTAAATTATAGGCGTTTATTGTTCGTCTGGAATTTTCTTGAAGCTTAGAGAGCCCAGCGAGGGCTGGGCCATCTTATTGTACATTCCGTACAGATCGTAATTTTTCAACTAAAGCTTTTCAAAAAATTAACTTTAGCATTTTTGTAGTGCAATTTTTACGTATTTTGTGGTGCAATTATATAATTTTAATATGCAATATTTGTGTGTTTTAAATGCAATTAAATCCGGTCTTTAGTTATAACTTTGAGTGTATGATTTTTTTTACAACTACAGCACTGGTTATAATCGATGGCATCGTATGTTCGACGGGGTTAAATCCATTGATGGTCAATAATATTTTAATTATTTTTAGAATATATGAAAAAATATAAAATATAAAAATGAACAGAATGAAGTATAACCACAAAAATACTATTACAAAATGTCCGGTCATGTCGGTAAAATGCATCAATGCTTTAAATTGATGATAGTCTATACATAATTAGGTACCTAAACATCTAAATTAATTTATCTGTAATAGTTTCTCCTCTACCTTTTAATAAAAATTAATATTGTTACAGTTTTCGAGTTTTTAAAATTTAGCGGCACATTTAAAATCTAGTAATGTGATTATTAATTTATTCTTCTTATTTGTATTCTTTAAAGTCACTTTTTTCGAATATTTAATTTGCTATTATAAATAATTTATTATAAGGATAAATACTGAAATACCAGATGTGACCTAATATATTATGTATACGCTTAAAATTTCGACCACACGAAAACAATGTAAACAAAATTAACTTTCACTAGTACTAATTTTTTTTTTTTTTGATTATCGGAACGAGAACTCGCGGTTGTAATAATTTGTATTAATCGTTCCTACTTTAGAAGCTAGAAAACCAGAATTATTTGAAAATACGTTTTGGCGGGATTCGACTTTAAACAGCCTGCAGCTGTTCGGTCTTCGCGCGCCGGCCGGCCTGTCGTGCGGTTTTAGTAACCACTGTGGTCAGCTGTTCGCTGACAGCCAGAATTCCTTCTAGGGCGGTGGCAACGTTGCCGCGCTCATCGGCACCGACGGCTCCTATTGGTTAATCGTCGAAAACCGCTTCGAGCCGCCGCGCGTCAGCACTACCGGGTCATATAGTAGCCGTGTCCGTCCGTCCCGTTTGTCCGTCATTCTTTCTTGTCTTTGCTTGTTTCACTCCACACTCCGTACGGGTCCATCACACATTCGGTAAGTAAGGTTTTTTTTTTTTACTTTACGTTCGGTTTTTAATTAATTCTAAGTTTGGGCTTTGGCGTTACAGTGTCGGTTTAAAACGGTTTTATCGTTCTCGATCGTGTACAAGTCTGTTAATTTGCCGTAATGTAATTCTGCGGCGAAAGCCGATACGTTTGCACCCGTCCGCCATCTTTATCGTTTTGGGTCACGCCTATTTAGGTATATGTGTCCGATTAACTATTTATTTCTTTTTGAATTCTTGTTATTTTTCCGTCTTCGTAGCCGTTCAGTCGCTCCCGATTTGGAAAAATTATTCGCTGAACACCGTTTACCGTTCATTATCTCATTTCTCTCGTTCCGTTTGCCCTTGCCAAAGGTTAACCCGGCTATCACGAGGTTATTATTGATTTTCTGTATGAATTTGAATTTTTTGTTTCAGTCTTAACACTCCAAAGCCACCCAACAATTCAACATACAAAAATGTATTCCTTAGCCAAAGTCGTTGCCCCAGCTGTCCGCTCCGCCGTAAGTATATACCTATGTGTTCATTATTAATGCTTTTTTAGTTGTTAAGATTAAACATTGCAATATGAGGTATGAATATATGATGAGATTTTAAGCTAGAACGTTTAAATGAGCTCTCATATCTTATAAAGAGAGTTAGATAAGAGAAATATTAAAATATCTGGAAATGGGTGAAGGTGATTACAAGGACGTTGGTTTTTCAATTATTTTGTTAAATTTTAAAAGATAGTTATTATATTCTTCTATTTATAAAATATTAATAGTTCCAGTACCTTTCCTTCTATAAAATCATTTTATCTAACTACCTAGGTAATTATGTTCTATTGGTATTAAAGTCTGAACAAAATTAACAAATTTTTATATTCTACAATGTGTGATATAGTGTATCCACCTGCCCTTACATTTTAATTTTAATTGTACAAGCTGAAATAATCCCTGTAACATTTATGGGATATTGCATATAAAATATATTTCTGTCAAATTTACCAGTATTTTAAGGTACCAAATTGGTATTCTGTATTGAGAATTTCAGTATTTTTATTATACTATAAATATTAACATTATTAAATGTCTAATTAAACATTATGTTTCAGTCAGTCTGTAAATATTTCGTACTTATCCTAATGGTTAAATGAAGATATTATGTTATACTTTAAGTATTAATATGCTTTAAGACAGTTATGCAATGCAAATAAACTAATCGTTCGTGGTCAAAAAATAGAAAAAAACTAAATATTAGTGCTATGAAAATTGTGATAATGTACATTATATGACCTTAACAAACCTTGACAAATTCATTACCTATAATTTACTTGCATTAAATTATATTTTTAAATTCTCAATACATTTTATATTAAATCTGAATTTTAGATCCTCTCAAACTCCAGAGCTTCTTTTGTCAGGCCAATCAGCAGCATTGTTTCAAATGGACCCAACACTCAATTACAACAAAACCAACAGACACCCAGTGCTATTGTTTCCAATGGAAGCTTGGTAAAATAATTGTTAACTCTAAAAATTACAAATAAGTAAATAAATAATTATTTTTAATTAGCTGAATGCTGTAAGAGGTTTCCAAACATCTGCTGTGTCAAGAGACATTGACTCTGCTGCCAAATTCATTGGTGCTGGTGCAGCTACAGTTGGAATTGCTGGATCAGGTATTTAAAATTTGGGTTTTATAACATTTACATCTTATAATATCCGCTTCTTACTAAATTATTTGCTTGTGCGAGTTCTTGCTAAATATTATTTATATTTTTTTTTATTTTTATAAAAGTTAATAAAACCATGCAAGATAATAAAAATATTATTATTTAATGTTAAGTGTTTATACATTTATATATACAGTAGAATTTCGTTAAGTCGAAATATATGTCGTTCTTTTGTGAAAACTTATAACAAAAAAAGGAGATAACTGAACATTCTGTGTTCCGAATAATAACTGATAAATTTTATAATTATTTGTCTAATCGACCTGTGCATCCTATAATTTAACCTAATAATTTTTTAGTTATACAAATTAAAAATAATAATTACTATTCACACTGTTCATGTATACTATATAATAATTAAAACTATTATGTACTTACATTTTAAAAACTCTTATTAAGTGTCAATTATTTTTCCTTAAAACCTTTAACTTAGTAAGTCAATAAAAATTGTGAATTTCTCTTGAGATTTATTTTATTGAGGTTCTACTGTATTTTATTATTATTTGAGTTTAATTTAAATATTTGTAAATTGCATGGTTTTTTCTAATTTTGTATTAGGCAAGTGCATCATTTTGTCTAAACAATAATAATCTTATAATTGACTCATTCATCACAAAAATGCTTTTTTATCCTCATAGGTACTGGAATTGGAGTTGTTTTTGGTTGTTTAATGTTAGCGTATGCACGTAACCCTTCATTAAAACAGCAGCTTTTTTCATATGCAATTTTAGGATTTGCTCTAGCTGAAGCGATGGGTCTCATGTGTATTATGGTTACTTTTTTAATGTTATTTGGATTTTAATGGGAACACTATTTTAATTTTCATGAGTTATATATTTTGGTGCTTAAGAATTAACCATTTATATATATTCTTTTGAAAATGTGTATTAAAATTTAATACATAGAATTACAAGATGAAACCAGTATTTTTTTTTTTTTTTTAAATACATTAAGTTTTCTTTTTCTTACTTTAAGTAATAACTCAAGATAAATAAAAAAAATTCCGTTTATTTTAAATTAATTAATTATAATACTTATTAATTGTAAATGTCCTTAGATAAATTCTCATTTACTATAAGGATATTTTAATTCAATTGTTACTCATTTATTTTTATTTTTTTTTATATACATATATATTTAATTATATAAACTAATAAAATGCATTCCTTATTGTATATCTTGACACGTCCTTAAATTGATTTATTTATTAAAATATTAAAAGATTGCATTGTACAGTATTAAATATTTATTGTTTATACTATTATTTTTAATTTTTGTTTACACCTTTATTGCTACTGATTTTGCTTTGCTATTATTAATTAAATCAAGATTTCAGTTTAAAGCTTTTTTGCATGTTGTTTGAATTTTGGAAGTGTGATTATTTTTTGCTACAGGAAAATTAAGCATGCTCCAAATGGTGAAAATGTAAGTTATACATTAATCTTTTTTATTATTTTGCAAATATATTATTTAAAAATTACATAATATAAATTCTCCCAAAATTAATCTTATATTAAGGTATGTTAAAACTATGGTCTGAAAATAACTAAATTTACTTACTGCATTGGTAGTAAACTAAAAAAGAAACTCTGTATTGATTATCCATGAACAAACTTAAACTAAATATAGCCATTGGAATTCTATAAGACACTTATTTTGTGTTTCAGACCATCTAGTATTTCCATTTCCATGCAAGAACAAACTTTTTCTATAGTGATTTATCTTTTACTATTAAATCCATCTATAATAGAATTTATTTTTCAATTCATAATTAGTGAATACTAATTAAATTTTCTTTTAGTCTTAGAATTTTTTTTTATAATTTATCTTAATAAATTACTTTTGCCTTTAATTTGTTATTAAATAATTTAATACAAGTATAATATTATAACTAAACATATTGGCCAATATATTATTTAAATCAAAATATATTACTTTGTTTTATTAATTAACCTATTAAACTAGGTTTTTTTTTGCTTTTAATTTTTTTATTTGGCTTTCTATGCTGTAAGTTTGTACTACCTCAGCATACTCATTTTTGTAATTTTTAATTATAATTATTGACTTTCAAATGGATCAATTAAATTTTGAATATTAATTTTATTTATTTGATATATTTTCAGGAGCTGGTATTGGAACAGTATTCGGTTCACTCATCATTGGTTACGCACGTAACCCATCACTCAAACAACAACTTTTCTCTTACGCCATCTTGGGATTTGCCTTGTCTGAAGCCATGGGTCTTTTCTGTCTTATGATGGCTTTCTTATTGTTGTTCGCTTTCTAAGTTGTCTCATCACGATGTCTTTCGTCGTTCATAAAATAAAATAAATACAATTTTTAAACATCTTGAAATACAAACCAACAAGGAATTTTAATTTCTGTTCAAAATTGGCACGATCGAAAGAATTGCGAAAGACTGTTATCTGTGAAATACACTTTGATAGGGAATTTACCTGTAATAATATAATAGATACTAACTATAAGACGGCACTTAGGTGTTTATGAAACTGCCTCATATTGTAGACGTATTAAACGCCTAGGTCAAGATGTTTTTTTTTTTTTTTGGTCTTTCCTATTTTGTATGTTTCACAGATATATATAAATAGAATAAATACTTATTGTAGAATCCATTTGTTTAATTCCTTTTTTTTATTATTATTGTTATGATGCCATTTTTTAGAATGTGTTGGTGAATTTGTTGCAAATTAAAATATCATTTTTCAGCTGTACCCGGTTTTGACTTGGCTTTAGATAACAATGTTACATGTTTTCTACAAAATGTAATATATGAAGTTATACATATAAAGAAAAAAAAATAATTTTAATTTGTTACGTATCTTCAAAATTTAATTACTTTTTTTTTCCATTAGTACATTGAATTGTTTTTAAAAAATTTTAGTGCTCTTTCAATAAATAGTAAAACTAAGTGAGGCAAATGTTAACCTTTTTTTGACATGCCTCAAAATATGGGCAATTTCTACTTAGTTCTTTTATGTCCTTTATATGTTTTATTTTTGTTAATTTAATGATTATTTTTTCAATAACTACATGGGAAATAAAACAAGTTAGGTACTCTGCTCGGATTAGTTTATTGTTTGATACTCTATATTATGTAAATTATTTTATATCTTGCCTTTGTTATTTATCCATTATGATAGTGGCATATTAGTGTTTAATATCAAATTTGATTGCATATTACAAGTTATACGTGTAGAGGTTATTTAAAAATTATAAATGCACAAAAAGTACAAAATTAGTTATTTCAAATGATCAAAGTAACACTTAGCAATTGGAATTTATTTATTTGTTAGTGCATCATAGTTGGTTCATAAAACAATTTTTCTATATTTACATAGAATTAGCAGTAATGGAATGTCTATTTTTGAATTTCATCCTGCTATATTTCAGTTTTTCTATTGAATTTTTTTTTTCATTAAAATTACTATCTTATGACATTAAAACCAAAATTTTGGAATTAATCCAAAATGCCTTTTTATTATTATGATTTGTAGTTTCTTGAAATTTGATAACATTTTTTTTTATTGTATCTAGAATAGGCCTATCGCCTTAGATTTAGGGTTACAAATGTTCAAAACCTAGCGACTCCACTAACTGTCGAGGTGCATCCTTTATTCTTCTTCACTTTTCCCTAATAACTATACTACGTGGTTTTGTAGAAAATATCTAGCGTTATTTTTGATAAAACCAATCCGAGCAAGTGACCCCGTCAAGTTTCTAAGTGCATCCAAAATGCTATTTTTCAAGATTAATGTACAATAACTTCAAAAGTAAGTTCTAAAGATAGTTTTGATTATACTAATGGAATAAACATTAAAAATCTCACATTTTGGAAAAAGAAAAGAATTTTAAATTCTCACTAAGTAATATGCGAAACTGAAAATCTGAACTTCCCCCATAACTTCCAAACAAAGTTTGTTCGACATTTTTTTTAGATTCTTGTTATACAGGTAAAAACATTTTGTAAAACGAGTTGGGTCGTAAATTATTTGTTTTAATGTTTTTAATCAGGAAATATTGAATTAGAAAACTTGGAATCTTGAACGAAAATTGAAAATTTTAAAGAACATGTAAATGTTGAGTTATAATTTTGAAAAAACAAAAAATAGTAAAATGACGTTTTTAATATTTCTTTGATAAAATTATATATTAAGTTAAACTGATTACTTATTAATATTAATTTCAACCATTGTTCATTTGTAAACATTAAATAACTGTATGTATGTATCTTACCTTCCCAATTTCCCATCTATTTTATTTTCACTTCCAATATAGAGAAATAAATAAATGGGTACAATATTTCTAATTGTTTATATAATGACGAGATAAAGTATTTTTGGTTATGATTGCTAAGAAATTATAAGTATTATCAGATTTGGCATAACAAGTTTTTTTTTAAACTTTAAATATTTATAACTGGAAATCGATGGGTATAGCAGCCCTACACCGCGAAAATATTAATTCAACGTACTTAATAAATAAAATACTTATTCCTGAGTTAATTGATTAGTTTTTATATGATTGCAGTTTTATTTCACTGTAAGGTTAGATTAGGTCGTTTACGCAGTACTTGCCTATTTGGTAATACAAAACCTAACTATTATAGTGTGTTGGCCAACAAGTATATATTTAATAGGTGAGTTTAAAATATGATAAGCTAGGTTTTAACTTAAATAAACTCGATTGACGTATAAAAATGTTAATGTTTATCTTTACCTAGGTACTAAATATTTTTATTATCATTCCTTTCTGTCATTTGTTGTAAAAAATTATTGGTAATCAGAAAAAAAGCCAATTTATTTATTATATATCTGTATAAAAATATTTACAATATGTATAATTTGTATTTATTTTCCCACCAGAAAAGTTAATGAAGTTTTTAATAAAAATAAAAAAATACACGCTATTTATTTTTTTTATCTTATGTTTATTTCAGAAAAGAATAATGAACCCCACGTGGGAGAACCCATGGGAACTTAGCGTTCATGTAAAATTAATATTAAAAAATTCTTCTTTAATTGTTTTATTCTAAACTTTTGAGTGCTTTGGGGTACGGGTCTTAACCCGTTAAGCTTAATCAATCGATATAAAATTGTATACACAATGTTTTCGTTATCAATGTTTTGCGTTATTGTAGTTATAATGTAATAAATAAATTGCCTTTTTTTCTGCATTCAAAATTATTGTCCGACGAGAGTTCATACGTGGCACTATCGTAAAATACTTTGTTTATTTATAAAGTATTTTATAATATAATTATCAGGGAGAATTTATCGTATCGCAGTGAAAGTCTATGCTGAACACCGTATAATAATAATTACCAATACCTATTGTTATTGCAGCCCCAGGATAATACTATTAGGTAATAAGTATTACAATTCGAATATGACGGCACAACGGTATACTTTAGTAAATTAATCACGTTTGACTTTCTCAGCCATAAAGACTTGCGTGGAATATTCATATGTTTAAATCCAGTTATTGTACCGTACCTATTAAAAAAAGATACAGTTAGTTGGTAGGTAGGTAATTATGTGTTATCGTTGCAATAATTATTATTATATTTATATTTTATAATTATTTTGTATAAAAAATTTACGTGGACTTTAAACGATTAATAGTTTTTTTTGTGCATTTGCATTATTATGTTTGTGAAGTTTTTTTTTTTCATTTCATAATTTGTCGTCGTCGCTTTCGCGGTTTTGAGCTCAGCGTTTCAGTGAAAGTTGGCAACGTTTATTTTTACATTTTTTTTTTGTAAGGAACAGCTTGCACTGATTTTGTATCTTTAATTGTTATCATTTATCGTTGACCAATCGATGAGAAAAAGTGTTCACCTATCGACGAGAGTGAAGGGCAATTATTTTTATTCGTTACATTCTGTTTCAATAGTTTTCTGTCAATCCCGTGAAATTATTTTCATACGAATAACGCCAAAATGACCAACTTAGTTACAAAAAGTTCCTACGTTCTGGAGACGTTGGGAAAGAAGAGCCCTAAGGTAAGTGTAAAAGTTTTAAATTGCATGACTGGGTCATTTGATATCTCAAACCAAACGAATCTATATAGGTGCCTAATTAAAATGTATATTTATATTTTTTAAGCTTTTCGCTGCATCGTTACCTGTGTGCCCTCTTTGGAATAACAGCCAACCACGGCGTAACCTCAACGTTCATGAACATGTTAGCTATTCATTGCTTAAAGGCGGGGGCATACCTGTTCCTAAGTTTGGTGTAGCCAAAACCGGCAAGGAAGCTGCTGAATTAGTCCGCGGTCTTGGAATCACAGATATTGCCATTAAGGCTCAAGTGTTGGCTGGTGGTCGTGGTTTAGGTCATTTTAAAAAGGGTTTCAAAGGCGGTGTTAAAATGGTTGATACGTGAGTTACAGTTTTTGATTATGTCACCAATATGAATGTACTAATGTATATTTACACTAAAAATGTTACAAATTCAGTGCAGAAGAAGCAGAACAAGTATCAAACCATATGCTTGGAGATTATTTGATTACAAAACAAACCGGAGAAAAAGGTCGTATTTGTAACGCTGTCATGGTTGCTGAACGAGTATACGCTAGGAAAGAATTCTACTTTGCTGTCATGATGGAGAGAGCTTTCGGGGTAAAATATTTTAACAAATAATTTACTATTGAAATTCACTGGACTAAAATATTATTCATAGGGTCCAGTTTTGATAGCATCTTCACAGGGTGGAGTTAATATAGAACAAGTTGCTGTTGAGAATCCTGATGCTATTTTGTATATGCCAATTGATATTACAAAAGGTATTAATGTTTTAATTTATTTCATTTTATCTAAATCTTAATCCCTCGTTGACATTGGGAACAGAAATTATTTATAATATAATTTCTTACATTGAAACTTCTTTTAAAATAAATGTACAAATGATTCAATAATTATTAGGTATTTCAATAATTTATACACGATACAAATAATAATAACACAATGTTGTTTATTTACAATTATAAAAATATCCTAATTACTGTAAAATAATATTCATTTAATTTTAATAATTGAACCTATTAATTTATCTGTTTAAAAGTCATTATTTTACTTAAATTAATTATCAATTTAATCATTATATGCATTTAAATCTGACCCTTTAGGTTAAAAGTATTAAATGTGTATTATGATTATTATACAAATAATATTTTATGGATTGTGATATTAATTATAGGTCAAAGTATTTAAATCAAAGTGTTTATTGGTTAATCAAAAAATACTTGGTTAGGAATGAAGTGAATTATTTTGATACATTTGAGTTGAATTTATTTATAGTGAGCTGTTCATTTAATACTTTATAAAACATAAAAAAATATTTAAATATTAAATGATAATATTTAAATATTCCAATCATTTACAGATACCTACTACTTACTTTGCAAATTTATTACTGATATGTTACAATTAGTAATTATGATTAGCTTTATTATATTGAATTGTGACAAATCAAAAATATTTATATACTCACTCATATACAGTTTGTGTAAAATATTTTCTTACAATAATATAAAGCATAAGTGTAATGTATATACACCATGTGTAAATTAAAAAACTATGTGATTTATTTTAAATTTGATAATAATAATACAAATTTTAACTAAAAAGGAAAAAATTCCTTTTAAGGTAAAAATAACTAAATATTTCAAAAAAGTTTCACAATTGATTTTGTTGTTACATGATTCAAATTTTGTGTTTAGAAACTTACGTTTTACAGTTACTTAAATAAATAAATTTACTATTTATAACTAGTACCTATATTGATATATATATATATACTTATATAGGTATTGTAATATTAATAATTTTAAAATATAATTAAACTTGATTTTTTTTTTATCAGGTATATCTAGAGAAAATGCTTTAGACATGATCACAAGAGTTGGATTGACAAAAAAAAAGGATGAAACCGCAGATGTAATTTTAAAGCTGTACGATTTATTTTTGGAGAAAGATGCTCTTTTAATTGAGGTTAATCCATATGCCGAAAGTATTTCCACCGGAGGATGTTAGTTCAATTAGTTTTAAATTTAATTATATTCAAATATATACATTATTATTTATTTATAGATTTCTGTTTGGACGCCAAATTCCGATTTGATGATAATGCAGAATACAGACAAAAAGAACTGTTTGCTTTGCGTGATTTGAGTCAGGAGGATGAAAAAGAAGTTGAAGCTTCAAAACACAATCTCAACTATATTGCTCTCGATGGTATTATACAATAATATACAGCTATACATTTAAATATTAATTTGTATAACTTTTTGTGTTTATATTTCAGGTACTATTGGTTGTTTAGTAAATGGTGCTGGTTTGGCTATGGCAACTATGGATATAATTAATTTGCATGGTGGTAAGCCAGCTAATTTTTTGGATGTCGGAGGTGGTGCTACTTCAAGTCAAGTGAAAGAAGCCTTTAAAATTATCACGTCTGATCCTAAAGTATGTTAATATTCTCACTTTAAATTAAATATATTATAGATTTTGAACTTTGATTTACATATAAAAAAAATATGTATATATTTATATAACAGTTATAAAAATTGTAAAGCGTAAGTTCACAATTTCTCTAAGAGTAATATTTAAAAATATTTATTATTATGAAAAAAAAAAGTAATATTGTGAACCTAAAGTAATAAATAATAATACATAATGTAATATAATTGAAGTTTATTTTGATATTAAATATTGATTAAACCATCTATATATTACTGAGCAAGTAGAAAAAATAAAAAAGTTCACTATGGTTGCTAAGTCACTTTCATTAGTAGGGCCCAGAACTTGATCTAAGCTTTTTTAAAAAATGCTAAAAAGTAATCTTTAAAATATTTATATTATTTGAAAAAAGTGTTAAAAGACTCAAGAATGTACTGCAGGTTCTCCACTTCCCATGACTGTCACTTGGGGGCATATGAGGGGGCGCTCCCTGTGAAAAATTAATTTATAGTCGACAATTATAATAAAATTACTGAGTAGTCTGACATTTCATTTATTTTACATTAACAGGCAATAAATAAAATCATTTGAATTTGGTTAGCATTGAATGTATGTTGCAAAATATTGTAGATTGTGGGATTTCACTGTATAAAGAATTGGAGCAATAATTTTTGTTGAAAACTTAAGCTATATAAATTTTAAATAATGAAATTATTACGTGGTAATTTGAAAAAAATTATTATTTTTTTTTGTTTTTTTTTTTTTAAATTATGAAAACTACTCCAGATATCAATAAATAACTTTTTTGCTATGCTTCAAATCTAAAATGCAAATATACCTACAAAAAGTAGAAAAATGATTTAAATACATCCAAAAAAATGATTAAAAGAAATTACCTTTTAACCAAGAAATACCAAAAAAAAAATCAAAATGAAATTTGTACCATTGAATTCTGCGTGACCCAAGTCAAATTTCTATAAAGATGAGGCTCGAATAAAATTATTTAAAAAATAGATGCAAATGCCCTAGTTATTAGATTGTCTATACTCAGTCACAATATATAAAAACAAAAAATTGGACTCTAGTCTCAAAAAATGTTCATAATATATTCTGATCAATAAACTATTGACATGTAAATTGTTAATAATATAATGTATTGAAAGTCTTATAAATTAATTTTTAAATATCTAGGTCTGTGCTATTATGGTGAATATTTTTGGAGGAATTATGAGATGTGATATAATTGCTGAAGGAATAATTGCTGCTGCTCAAGAATTAAATCTAAGTGTGCCAATTATTTGTCGTCTACAGGTATATATTAACCAACAAAAACAAAAATTTAATTAAATATCATACTAAGTTCAAAGTTATTAATATATAATATTGTTTTTAAATTACATAGGGAACAAATGTAGATGAAGCAAAATTACTTATCGCACGTTCTGGTATGAAAATTTTGCCAGTTGATAATTTGGATGAAGCCGCTCGTTTGGCCGTAAAGTTATCTGAAATTGTGAATTTAGCTCGTGAACAACACTTAGGGGTCAACTTTGAAATGCCCATCTGAAAAATAAAAACATACAGTAATTACTGATACGTTAACTTATATTTGTTCTTTGTGAATTTTGAAAAATTTGTCTTTAGAGTATATTATACATTACAATTTATTCAATGAAATAAAATGTATAATATATCCTTACTAAAAGCTTTAATTATTTATAGGTGACTTAAAAGATTTCTACTTTGAGCTTTTTTAATTTTTGTTAGTTATTGGACACTTATGATTAATCTTGTTGACTATTGTTAATTTTGTTTAAAATAGTTCTATAGTATTTAATTTATTTAATCAGTTAAACCAGTTGTTATCTTATACGATGTTACATTCATAACATTTTAAGTTAATTGATTAAATATTATAACCTTAAAATGTAAAAGAGTGTAATATAAACTATCTTAGGTTAGTTAGCCTTTTTTTTTTTTTTTTTTTTTGTAGTTAACCTTGTTATTCATATTTATAATATTGATTTTATTTAATAACAATATTTTTTAACTAATTTTAATTAAAAACCTAATTTTTGATTAAAATAAAAGAAACAAATTTCAGTATTACACTATGTAAAAGTCTTCTTAAATGAGATATATATATATATATTTAGTTACATAACAAATAATTTCTCAAGTCATTTAAACTAACAGCGCTTTTAATTTAATTAAATAAATACTCGACAGTACAGAATAATTAATTTGTAAATTATAGCTGCAAATGGTGTGTTGATTCTGTAATGTATTTTCTTTATTCATCTTATCCTTTTCTCTTTTTTAAAACACAATAAATGCATAAATGAATTGTTAAAGAAAATTTAGTCTTTGAATCTTTAACCATATATCATTTTTTTTTTTTGGATATAGATATGTATTTGTATGTGTAGCTACTGAAATAATTCATCGGATTAGCATTACCTTAAACATTTTGTATTATTTATTATTATTTTAGTATAATTATAATTGATATTGTTAATCCTACCTAGTATTGTTGTAAAATGTCACGGATAATAATAATAAGTTTTATTGTTAACCATTGTCATAATTAATATTGTTGCGCCTGTTTATTGTGAAAGATAATAAAATACTTTGCTTAAAAATACCATTTTAGTCTTATTATCGGGTAGTATGTTATGTTGTTCAAAATATAGGTACTCAAATAATCTTTAGTTCCTTTGTTTGAGTGATTAATCAGTAAACTTATCAAATCTTTATTTAAGGTATTGGTGTTTACGTGTTTTAAAATTTACATGTTATTGAATATTATTGCGTGCTGGATTGACTAACAATTAAAAAAAAAAAAAAAAATAATAGGTAATTATTTAGATTGTGGGGATAATTTGCTGTGTACCTAAAATTATATATAAAAGTACCAATCGTTAATAGGAATTTAAAAATATTTCCCGTTTCTTAATTTGGATTATATTATTTTTAGACATTGCAGATGTCATTTGTTATAAAATAAATTACAATGCACTCAAGGAAAATCATTTTTTGAATGTTGTTGATTGTGATAGTTTAAAACTTAAAACAATTTAAATCGAAACGAATGAGGCAACATGTTTAGTCTACTTTATCATTTCAAATTTTTTTTTAAAATTGTTTCATGACACTAATTCTGAAATTATTTGAATGTTTTTGAGGAAACCATTATCAATGAAATTAAGGCAAAAAAACAAAATTTTTAATCCTGAAGTTGATAGTGTAATAATAATATTTTGAAAACTTGGTTTGAAATTTATAGTAGTTTGCAAATTATTATTTATATACAGAAAAAACTATTGTGGGGATGGCTTTCTATATTTACTGGCTTCATTTGTGAGCACATATTGTAATTGTAAGAACTTCATATACCGAACTATACATTTTTAAAATAGCTTCCTTTAAAAAAATTGTTTTCTAGAATCATCATAGAAAAATATTTAAAAAAAGGCGGTTCATTAAAGTCGTAAACTTATATCTAAGTGAGATAATTTTGGTTTAGTCACTAACCAAGAAAAAGAAAGATTACAGAACCAGGGGAATATATATTTATTTACTTTTAAACCATCGTTTTATCCAACAAATAATGTGAATTTTCAGACCACTAATATTTCACCATTTGTATTGAAATAAAAAAAAAAAAAAACCTAAATAGACAATCAAATGATCATTATGGAGAGGTCTGCTTGAAGTTTATTGCGAAATTTGGATGTCCGTTTAACTTTAAATATTGTTATTTTGCTCATAGATATATAACTAGACTGGTATTATCTATAGAATTACTATTCTATGACTATTCTTATACTTAAGGTTTATGTTTTTTTTACTAATACAACTAATTTTTTTTCAAAGTTTTATAATTCGATTAGTGTCGCTGTGAACTTGACATTTTCCAAATCGATATTAGATACGTTTTAAAATCATCTAAAGGTGCATAACAACGCACTTTGATTTTTTTAATCTAATATTCAAATATGAATAGAAATACGTATCGAGTCCTTTTGAAATGTGTGTTTGCGCCTTAATGGTTTGTTTATCAAAATGCTTTGGAGTCGGACATTTTTTTTTTTGTTTCTGTCAAAAACACTGTGGGGTTATTATTTATGCGCCGCGAACTTTTTCATGGACAAATTTTTGTATCCATGTTTCTTATCACTGCTGTTATCAAGGCCATTGTTGTGTTTTGTTCCAATACCTCAGCGACCCGAACAAAATAGTAAATAATATTCGTACCGTAATAACTTCAAAATAAATTATCCGCGGTTTCATCGTTTCGATAGTTTACTGTATTCAAGTTTGGCTGTTGTTTGTGACAAATATCTCAATGTCCAACCTCAAACTCTGACTGCTACTGCGACAGAAGACAGCGACGTAAGTAATCCGTTTTTAAGAGGGGACACGATGTTGGGTATCGAAAATTCGAAACATATGTCTTGTAGGCACCAAGAGCGGGTTAGGTCCGTTCGGAATCTCTTACAGTGATATTTTCCAACGTTTGCAGTTACGTGCATGCCGGATACGGTCTTGTCGGTCGGCCACATATTATGTTGTCGGATACGGCCGTATGATGATGTCGTGTGGCCACAGTTCACATCGATTTCCCGTGAACTCTGTTCGTTTTCCGTGCAATTCTAACACTACACACGGGTAAACAAATGGTTACATAATGGGCTTATAAATTAATGTTTTTTTCTAGAATAAAAAAACATTACCCTGTAGTCTGTACAGTTATACCTGTTGATAAAAAAGTGTACCTTATGGCCAATCATTGTTTCAATACAAATATTTCAGCCCTAGGCTTAAAAACAATAATCGTTTACCATGTCGTTGTATGATAGTTTATATTATTTTTAAATAATTTATTTTCTACATTTTTTGTTGCTTTGTTTATTAGGTACACAGTGAGTGTAGATCTTAATATTTGTATACTTGGCCGTTTATTTGCATTTAATATACCATTTCATAACGATACATTAATTTTTATCAGAGCAATAATTATTTAAGTAGAGAAAAATTAATATGAATTATTAGAAATTTGTTTGCTATATATGTGTATTCTGTACAATTAGTTTTCTAATTTTTAGACTTTCTACTTTGTCTGTAAATGGGCCAAGAATAAAATTCATAGTTAGTCAAACAAGTCTCTTAAAGCTATGCTATCATCAGGTAAATCAATATTATTTATAAATAGTAGATACCTAACTTTAATGTGTATTATTAAATCTCTAAATTGATTATTTTGCCATTTTATGTTCCTTAATATTAATACTACCAAATAAATGGGGTCAACGTGACTATTTAATTTAATTTAGTTGTTTAATGATATACCTATTTTAACTAGTTACTTATAAATATACAACAAAAACAAAGAAAACGGTAACAACAAATAGCTACAACTTGCCAACTCAAATGGCTTAGGTTGGCTAAATCTATTAAAATTTTAAGTTATAATGTCACATTAATATTTTAGTTAAAACATGTAAAATAATATTTAATATTTTTATCTTTATAGCCTTTTACTGCTACTGAACTAAGAATAAATCAGTTTGATTGAATATTGACTGGATTTCCTATGTGATATATACATGTAAGTACTTGGAGAACATATTGTACTAATATAAATTAGTTAAAGAGTTATTTCACAATATATTACTCATAGAAATGTATGTATATTTTTTTATATCTGTACAATTTTATATTTTATTCATAGTTCAACTAGCTGTTACACTTTGCCTGTGCACAGTTAGTTCAGCTCTGCACGGATAGGCAAGAGTGAATGTAATCTCTGACTTAACAGAAATTCGGAGTTGTCTGACCCAATCCTATACAATATACGAAAATCGGAAAATTTGTCCCTAACTGATCCTTAAATAAAGTTCTTTATTTCGTCCGATCCCATCCTATACGAAAATCCGAAATAATATAACAATACTCTGGTAGGGTCGAGCTGTCCTGGTTTGTGCAGAATTCTAGGGGATGATCTGAATTTGGTCCGACCCAAATTATTTTACAAGTCTGAACTAAGGTGCTCGCAAGCAGAGCGGCAGCAGCAGTGAAAACTTGTTTTCATACATTATTTTTATTTACTGCCGTGGTAAATGAATTTACAAACTGGAAATTGTAGTCTGTTAACAATCATAATATTATGTACGACAGAATATTGTAGATTATACGTAATTACTAAATTAATTTTGATCAGCATTTAAGCTATAAGTATAATCTGATATATACTTCTATTGTAAATGATAAATTTAATGTTCTAAAATTATTGGGTATGTAGGTGCTCAGCGTATTACCAATATTCGTTTAGTTTATTGTATGCTTGTATAAAGTATTAAAGTATTTTTTATTTTTTTTGTTAAACAAATAACACCGCGGCAGCTATGGCCATTAGTCAAACAGTGATATTAAAGTATTATGATCATCATGAGTATAGTGATTGTCCATGATGACATAAATGTGAAATAAATAAATACCCATCAGGCAAGTCGCATGTGTCATATGTGAGATAGGAAATATACACTAAACACGGTTCGTACCAAGCCTGTATACAGGGGTAGGGGTTTAGGGGATCAACCCCTCCCTCCGAAATTTGTATGGTACCTATAGGTGTATACCTTTAAAATAACAAAGATTAACTACAAGTTAGTGTATTTAAAATATTTTTAATTCTCCTCCTTCCCCCCTAAATTGATCTTGAACACGTGTTTGGTCCGTAATGTATCTAAAGCTATTATAGTTATCCAAAGTTAAAACAAGATAAAAATGAAATATAAAGAGGACCTATAACTACTACCGTGCGGATAATTATTGCTGTAATATTTCCCTTTGGTTAGTTTAGTGATATTTTATTTTGTCTCGTTACTGTGGAAATGTCGCTGCCACCCTGGTTTATGAGTACCTTTAAAAATTAGTTTTTGAGCCCGAACTGATCCGGTTTGAAAAATGTTTAGGATTGAACCATCTTAATCCAATTTTGGGTCGGGTTGGGCTCGCCTGGTCCATGCAGGACTCTAGTGCATAGTATTTAATATACAAAAAATAACACAACTTCCCTTTTCACTCCTGCCTCTATTGCAATTAGTTGTTGTTGTCTTGTTAATTTTTTTTTGTTTTAACTGTACTGTCTGTAACAATCAAATCAACTATTTATAATTGTTTTCATTTGTATTGTCATAGTAATCTTTAAATTAAAAACAATCAAGTTTTTGTTCCATACTAAAAACCTTGTGCCAGCCACACTTAGTGCTTAAATTTTGATATATTTTCTATCTGAATTATTATTCCAATCAAAAAATGACAGGATAATTTTTCTGTAACATAGTTAGTGCACTGAAGAGGTCATTTATTGAGTTTTTATTAGTTTTCATAAAAATTGGGAAATACCGGAAAAGAATATTTTGAAAAAATTGACAAATTTAAAGCAATAATATACCGTACATTCATTAAATTAAATTTGTTTTTGTTATTGCAAATATTTTATATTTCATTATAATAAAATATAAACTATATGTATATAATTGACAAAGAATTGCCCCTTAAGCAAAATACTTCCTTAAAATTAAAAATGTCCACATTGGGAATCATTTCTGTAGATAGATGTAGGTGTGCTGAAAATAGTTTGTGAACTTCTAAGATAACAAAACAGGCATGATTAATTTCAAAATATATTATACAAAATATATAAATATTATATAATATCATAAATCCAAAAGATACGTTTGAACATTATAATGTACCTACTAATAATAGGTACATTCAATGTTATCAATTAAATATTTATGAAAAAATTATCTGTTTTCTTAAATGTATCTTAAGACCCTCAAAATAGATCTGTATCAGTATCTAGATACTTTTTTAATTAGAGTATCTGTATACTAATTTAAAGTATCTTATTACAGCATTGCCTATTATTGTTATTATTATCACTGTTCTTGCCAATTAAGTTATTAGTATATTTTAAAATGTAAGTGATAATTCATTTAATATTACACAAGTAATTGAACAACTTATATTTCTTTTCAAGGTTACATTTTTGACAAACATCTAGAGAAAAATGTTTTATTATGGTAGTAAATTTATTCACAGTACAAATCCGGCGGGTGGTTAAAAGTAGAATTAGTTAACAAGAGTTACAAATTAAATTTATCTTATACAGAAAAAATTATAGGTATGTGCGGTATATATTTATTAAAAATGACTGGTTTAAAGTTTTATAGGTTTTTAGGTGTCTAAATTTTATTTATTTGTATAATGGATATTAATGATATTTTAAATCTAATATTTTCTAATAGTTTTGTGATGCTTGATCATGAATAAATTATATTAATACATTTTTTTTTTTTATCCAAGATCAAAAACATTTTTTAATAATAAGAACCTTGGTGACATGGAACATTAGGAATTATCATTATTACGTGTTTACATGATACATATATTACAAAAATTAGTGAGCAAAAAGACCATAATATAAAATAAATTCAATATCAGAAATATATAGTTATATTTTGTTGAGTAGATTGGAGCCAGTGATGAATGTGATTGTTTTGTTCATTGCCTGTGAGTAACTGTGTAAAGCTTTAGTGAGTAAGCCTGGGAGACTATTTTATCCTGTTTTTCAATGTCGGATGATTTTAGATACTTATAATTGGTACCATCTCATGAGGCATTTATTTATACTTATTATACTAACACCATATGGTTTTATTAAAAAGTTATTATTAAAAGTATTATTTATATGACATTATCAGTGTTTGAATATTTTTCAGTGGAAAGCCAATGATATTACTTGTGGTTGTTAGACTTTGAACATATTTACTGAACAATATCTAAATAGTCCCAAATGAAAAGTGTACCTGTTGACGGTCCATCGGAAAATCTTCGTCAACTAAACACAACTTGGGGGAAGAGTAGAGGTGAACAGCAAACAGAATTGAGTTCAGAGGCACGGAATACTGTACGAAGAACACTATTTACAGACTCTGCCAATAAATCAGAGACCAATGATAATGTCTTAACGGAATCTAATGAAAAAAATCCCAAGTGGGTTTCATACGTGTTAAATAGGTTAAGTGAAGATACAAAAAACATGCCCGGCAACAGTCAAACTCCTCCTGCCAAAGAGGTAAAAGAAAAGGAACCGGAAGTACAAACAACTGTCGGACCTGATTGCGGTATTAAAGACGTATGGGCTCATAATTTAGAAGAAGAGTTTTCATCAATACGAAAACTCTTGCCGAAATATTCCTATGTGGCCATGGATACGGAATTTCCGGGTGTTGTTGCTCGACCCATTGGCGATTTTAAAACCACTGCAGATTATCTTTATCAGTTGTTACGTTGCAATGTTGATTTATTAAGAATCATACAGTTGGGACTTTCATTTTTTGATGAAGACGGTAAAACTCCTACTGGACCTTACACAACTTGGCAGTTCAATTTTAAATTCAATTTATCAGAAGACATGTATGCCCAAGACAGTATAGAATTACTGACAAACTCCAGGTAATATTTTTATACATTTATTGTATAATATTACTATAATTTATTTTCTTTGTTTTTTAGAATACAATTTAAGAAACACGAAGAAAATGGTATTGAACCTTTGGTTTTTGCCGAATGCATAGTCACGTCAGGATTAGTATTGATGGACAATATCAAGTGGATGACTTTTCACAGCAGTTTTGATTTTGGTTACTTAGTCAAAGTTTTGACCGACGAAAAATTGCCACAAGAAGAGTCTGATTTTTTTGATATGTTCTCTTTGTACTTTCCTTGCGTATATGACATCAAATATTTAATGAAGAGCTGCAAGAACTTAAAGGGGGGTCTTCAAGAAGTGGCTGATCAATTGGAATTAAAGCGAATTGGACCACAACATCAAGCTGGCAGTGATTCATTACTAACAGGAATGGCGTTTTTCAAAATCAGGGACATGTATTTCGAAGGAATGATTGATAATAAGAAGTATTGTGGCCATCTGTATGGCTTGGGCATTACTACTTTGAATAATGGACAAATTCGATATGATAACAATGACGGGCCGTCAAATTAAAAATGTCCAAAATTATTATTTTTTAATTGAACCTATTTCGAATATTCTTCTATTTTTTGTTATCCGCCATTTAATGGTAAAGTCCCATCCATACATATAGACTTAAAAGTAACTTAAAATAAAATGCCTAAGATTTATTTTTATTCAACAATTTATTTATCCCATTTAATATATTATATTTTGTTTGCCAATATTTATTGTGAATTAAAATTAAGAAAATTTGCCCGATTAAATTTAGTGTAGTATTATGTTAAGAAAAAAAATTGTTTGTACTGTACTTAAATGTTGATCACAGAGATCATACAAATATGCAAATACATTTGTTTTAAGTTTTGTTATTTTTATTAAATAACAAGCCTTGCATTATGATTTTTATATTTTATACATTTATTTTAATTCAAAATAATGGTGTTATTAATGTTTCATGTATTATTAATTTTTGAAATTTTCTGAAATGTAAAATAGTTAAACATTTTCCATTTTCATTACTGAGCACTGATAAATAAATGGTATTCAAATTATTATTTATTAATGGCAAGGAAAATATTTAATATTGTGTGAACATTTAATAAAACTAAATAAATTAAAAATTTCAAATTGACTCATCAATAGTAAACATTTGTGTCTCAAATGTTTTATAAAATGAGAAATTGCTCTTTTAGATTGTATAAAAAAAAAGTATAAGGATTATAATGTAAGGCTTGAGTAATTATTAAAAAAAAAAAAACTTTAATTATTAAACGGAACAAATGTTATTGCATTTATCAGATTTTTGAATTATTGAATCATGCTTTATATCTATATATTATTTATATATATATTAAGTATGACCGAATAAGAATTCATTATGGTAAATTTGTATTCTAAAATAAAAATAATTTTTTTTATAATTTAAAACAATTTCATATAAACTTAATGTGTGCCTAATATTATTATAGTTATATATTATTATATGTATATATATATATATATTATATATACATATATTTTTTTGTGGATTTTTTTAGATCCGGTCAATTGTATAAATAAGATTCCTTTCTTGTGTTTCATTGTTGCCTCAAAACTGTCTGTAAATAGTGTGATAATATATTTTAAATATTTTGCTAATTAGTAATAATGTGCTAGGTCTTGGATGTTGTTACTTCAGTGTTGCATTCTTTTTCTAAAAATGATAGAGAAAATTGTAGGAAATGGATGTTGGCATTTGATTGAGAGAGACATGATAAGATGGGTGACAGGAGTCCACATTTTCGCGAGCAAGCCTAGGTTGAATGAACTGGCATGCTATCAAGAGGGATCTTGGCGGGCCTCTCAAAAATGCAAAATCGTACTTGTTTCTAATTAAATTTATGTAATGTATGTATTACATATTACAATATTTTAAATATAGATTGTCATTTAAAAATCAAAATTAGATAGTTGTTTCTTAACCTAAAATAATTTTAATGTAACATTTAAGAGCTTTTTGTTTTTGAAATGTTAAAAAAAAAATATTTATTTTAAAATTTAAAACTTTCAAAGAAAAAGAGTGTACTCACTTAAATGGACCGACCAGTATATTTCAGTCAAATTATATGGAAAACCTTATTTATTAATTATTATTGGAAGATTCCCAGATTTATTAATGATTCACTTTTGCTACATCTCTCATTGAAAATTCCTGGGCACGGCATTGTCTATGATTTTATTTGATTTCAACATCCAAGTTCTAATACCTACTTACCGTATTTGTAAATATTTTTTCAGCGTCTACTTAAATGTTTCAATTTTTTAGTAATATGTGTTACTATTGAGTGTTGTGTTTGATTTTGGTGATATTTTACTGAAAACTATCTATTTAGAAATAATCATAAATTCTACAAACATAACAATACAATTAATTGTTGTTTTTTTACTTTTTGTTGTATTGTTAATGGATTAATTAACACTTGAATTTTCTTAATAAAAAAAATGTTTCATTGATGGTACCATAATTTTTACCTACTTCTTGGAATAATGTTTTGGTTAAAATTCTAAAATTGGTGAAACAAATATTATTGTATCATGAAAAATATATATATATATTTTAAAATATGAAAGAGACTGCACCAGGGAAACATCCCGTTAGTCGATTAATTGTGTATACACTAATAAACTGCTTATAGTATAATATGAGGATTATTTAATTTATTTTTAGATAATTTTTAGACTGGCTTTACAATGTTTATTTTTATTTATTTTTTTTTGTGTATAACTTTTCTACCAGCAATTTTGCTCCGGTTTACAATTATAGCACATTTTTTAAAAGGTAATCTGATTGAGGAGGTACTCTAGGGATGCCATTTTTTAATTCTACCAGGATTTTTCTCAATAAATGGGAAAAGCCGGAAAACAGGTACAATATTTAACAAATATTATTAAAGAAAATATATAATGTCTATGTAATCATTGTACTTTATAATATGACATGCATATTGTTGACAAAGCAACACTATCAACTGAACTCCTCTCGTTATCGTTTTTCGTTAGCGATGATTTATCGTTGCTGACAGATGTCCCTCTATACTACTTTTCCAACTTCTCACGTTGACCAACCCACGTGCGAAGAATGTCCGTCTTTTTCTTTTCTTGCAGCACATATTTTTCATTTCCTATTACCCATTTACTTTTCAATTGTTGTCGTGATATAATCAGTTGATTATTTCCAAAAGTGACTTAAATAAACTGTCTATAGACAGTTTTGTGCATGTAAAAAAATGATTTTCCACTCTATACTACATCACATTTCATGGTCATTATAACAGAAAGACGGACATACTTTGCACATGGGTGGGCCACTGTTGTAGGTGAGAAGTTGGGAAGGTAGTATAGAAGGGTGGGGGCTAACCTAACCTTAAAGTATATTTGTAAACAACGATAAACCATTGCTAACGAAAAAACGGGTGCGTTAAAATTGCGGATGAATATTTATTATCTTTACTATCAAATTTAGTGCAACGTTGCCGTTGCATATACAAACGTGAAAAATGTGTAAAATAAATTATTTTAGGAAAAACCTTTAAGGTACCTACCTAGTTTGATAAATGTAATTTGTGACTATTATTTTGAAGACTACGATTCCAACACTAAAGTTATCCAAAAAAAATAACCGTGTATATTATCATTAGAGATCGGATTTATATTCTTTTAAAATACCAGATATATGATGTTGTATGTCCTTAAAATAGCAAAATAATCTTTTAATTTTCTGAATAAAAAAAAAAAAATTTATTTGAGTTTTTAGCTTAAATTTAATTGTATTATTAATTTGATTTACAGCATTTCAAATTTATTTTATTTTATTTATTTTGCAATTGTAACAGCTCGTGACCAGCTAACGTTATTTTATTACTTCTGATGTGCTATTGCCATCGATAAGAAATATCTAGTGATTAATTTTCATTAGAAACCCAAAACGATATAAACATAATTCGCTTGTAAAATCAATTGTATTTGTTGATCAATATTATGAAAGCGCCGATATACGTCCATACAAATAATAAAACTAAATAAAACTAAAAATATTCATAAAATGTTTTCAGAATCTCAAATATTCCTTAACGTATTGAATATTCTCTATACCGTAAAATATGCTTTTTATGCAAAATAAATGTTTTCCTTTGAATTCTACGTTTCATGAATCGTGAAGACATCTTGCGTAATAATTTTTTTTTCGTACAGATTTCCATTGGAAAAATAATACAAACCGTTAAAAAGTAATAGGCACCTAAAATGTAAAACGGTCGTATCGAACCCAGCCCGTCTCTGAATCATTTTTCTCATGCGCGATGAATCATCTTCAGTTTTAAATTTATCTGTCATTGTGTGTAATATGAATAAGTACGTTCAACAGGCTTGGTTTGTGTCAAGGCCGTAAATAATACGACCGGCCGACGTAATCGCTACTCGGAGTTTAAAAACCAAAATTTGATGCGTCGTCATAGACGTAAATACATGGGGCTCGAGCCCAATAGGTTTAATATTAAAAACTGAATCAATTAAAATACCGTCGGTGGGACCTGAGATGGCTCTCAGGAATGGCCTCCTCTATGCGCGTATCGTGTCCTACCTACCTGTGGTATTTCTTTAATAATTTATAGCATACATATTATCAGTATTTACGTTCAGCGGGCTTCAAACGATCCAGGGGGGACCAGTCTCCCCCTGTCTCCTCCCCATTAATTGAGTCACTCACTACGGGAACCCCACTGTTTAAAGTACATTATATTTCAGTTGGTTTTACGCCTTAGTCCGGAGCAACGACCCAGGCCTACCAGATATTTTTTTTATTTTTTTTTTTTTCTATAGCTACCTCTACCATATGGTTATTGGTTTATCGTATAATCGTATATAGGTACGAACCATTTGACGGACGAAAAAATAAGAAACGCCGCATGTTATTTCTCAGGCGCAGTAGGTTAGTGTTTTTTACTTATACATGGACGTAAAAAAAAAAATCACTAATTTATTATTAGTTATTACTAATCGGGTTAGCCGTGGTTTTCGTATTTCGGGCCATAAAGTCGACGCAGGTACTTTGTATATAGTATTAAATTAACTAATATTTGAACGCAACAAAACTATAAAATCGATCGATCTGATAAACCTATGATTAGTATAATTGGGCCGAAGGCCAGTAGCCCGGTAAATGTCCGCAAATTAGAAAAAAAAAGAAAAGAAAACACCATAATTACCAATACACGTACACCAAGTACCTACTGTGACGTTTACCCAAATCGTACAGAAAACCTCCAACAAAACGCGATATCGGATTGTTAGGTGTGAATCGGGCGGAGTGGCCGGTCTGGAGATGGAAATTTTCCAGATGGCCCGGTGGCCTGATTTTTGTATACGGAATATTTTATTCACTCGTATTATTTAGAAAAAGTTAGTAAAATGTTTTGCCAAGGCGCATATTATTGTATTATTAGTTTAGTAGATAATAATAAAATATGCTACGTCATTGAAATATACAGAGTGATCAATCTATCAAAAGACACTCATTAACCCGGAGAGTGTTAACTTTTTTTCGAAATTTGTTTTACAAAAAATTTCACATTTACAATATTTTTTATCACTCTAATTTTCGGGGGGGGGGGGGGAAACGACTTCGTAATTTTGATTTTCAAATGGCAACCTGCATTAAAAATTTTATAAATAGATTAAGAAGTAGTTAAAATAAATGTTGGAGTTTAAATTTGTAATTTCCGTCAATCCGTCGACGAGTTATTCTATTTTTAATTTTGGGTTGGGAGAGAGTAGTGGTGCATTATTAACACGCGCTGTGTAGCCACACAAACAATGCTCCACTTTTAAAGTAGAGCATTTAAAGTCAACGGATTGACGGGAATTACAAATTTAAACACCGAAATTTATTTTAACTACTTCTTCATCTAATTATATAATTTTTAATATAGGTTGTCATTTGAAAACTAAAAGTAGGTAGTTGTTTCACCCCAGAAAATTAGGGTGATAAAAAAATAGGGTAAATGTTAAATTTTAGAACAGTTTGTTTCTAAAATTTCCTATAAAACAAATTTCGAAAAAAGTCAATACTTTCCGAGATAATGAGTGTTCTATGATAGATTGATCACTGTCTATACAAGTTTAGATTAAATGTACAATAAATGTAAAGTTAAACTAAAATAGGTAATTTAATCAATATATAAGTAAATGACGACTCCCCCGAAAATCGAGTTGGCATGTGCTTGAGGTGAGTGAGTTCAAAAATTCTACGGTTGTAATTTATTAAAATACAAACTTATAATAGATTTTAACATTTTTCAACAACTTTAGAGCTGGATAAGGTTAAATAAATCGGCCTGCAATTGCAGGATAATCTTGCAGATAATCTTTGATTATCATTATTCGTATGTAATGTGATAAAAATTGTGTTTTTTTCTTTTTTTTTTTTAAATAAAATGCCAGTACTAAATGAAATATTGAATAGCGGCTAATGGAATAGAAATATAATCTGCAGTATATTTTAAAACTTCATTTGAAAAACCATGCTCATAAAAAGTTGTTGGGTCTCCAAGTTCCAAGATACATTTTTTAATTGCTTTCACGTCACGTGGAGAAATAAAAACAGTGTCATTGATAACATCATTAAAGTACAAATCTTTACAGCATAATTTCTCATACCCATTTTCATTTATCTGATTAGCAATATTTACTCCGACTGTTAAGAAATATGTGTTGAATTCGCAATATCAAATGTTTCACTTTTTATATTATTACTAACTTCACTGCATATTTGATTAAAAAGGTATATTATTAATTCTTCTACTCGTAGCTTCATTAATTAAATTCCGAGTCTCTTCCATGTTGCCTTTGTAGACTACCTTTTGATTTTATCTCGATAAAATAAATTACGCGATTTTTTTTTATTAAAAAATTTAAGTTAATTCCTGTAGTTTATATATTTTCAAACATTTTGGTTAAATGTGCGATTCTTTTTAACTACAAAAAATCTGCTCTCTTTTTTTACTAGAAATGAATATGCTTTGATTTTATATAATAATATTTTTTAACAGAGGAAAAATAACAAGCAGGGTCTATCGTACTTTTGATTTCAGAATTAAAGATATCAAGAGTTTTATCAATTTATTCAGAATTACAATTTCATCCAATGATTATTTATAGAGTAGATCATTTAGTTGAGCAAAATAATTTTTTTATTTCTGTTTAAAAGTATTACTCTTATTTGGCCTATTAAAAAAAAAATTGAGGCAAAAATTGTAATACGTAATAGGTATTGATCAATGATATGTTTTCATCACAATGGATTCAATACTTGACCTTTGAAGTATCAAAACCTTTGACAAATACATGATCAATATTTTGTAGTATTAGTTACCCTGGTGAAATAATTCTAATACGTGGAGTAAAACCGAACTTAACCACCGTTTTCAAATGCTCAGTTACTTGAAGAGATTGATTGTAATTATAATTAGATATTATTATATTTTATGTCACCGCGCAATATAATTTCAGGCTTATCGGCAACTTCGTTAAGATAAGAAAACCGATGAGAAAAAGCTTGGGTACTCATTTGGTGAACGATAAATTCCAATTACGGTTAAGCCATTGTTATTTACAGATAATAGAGTTACCTCTATCGAATTTCATTCAGATAATATCGTTTTATTGATACTTAATAATTATCGGTACTTATTAATACATACACCGTCAGTTTTATCAAGAATACCACGGAAAATAATCATAGTCGTTTAACGAATAAAGGTTGTTGTACAGGTAACCGAGTTTATAGATGTTATACATTATATCAAATTTATGTTCAATGCTGTACATAATAAAGCAACCAACCCGTCAAAACGCGCCCCGATGCTCTTAATATTCCGTGCAAGCGTTTCTTTTGCTAAAACGAATATTACAAAAGTTATTAATTTCAATTGCGTTTGAATTGTATTTGTGTTGTGTAAAATACCCATAAACTCAAATTTATTTTACCTTAACGTTAATTTTACAAAAAGTAACAGGTTCGTTGACTTAAATTGGATGTGTTCCACAAGTGGATAATTTCTTTTTCGAAATCAATAGTTTTCAGTTGAGAAATGTTGCTTATTAGCGTTCCAGTTTTGACCTTCAGCTGTTTTCAAAAAAATACCTCCATTTGCCCAAATATACTTGCAGTTATATCTCTTGTTTTGCTTCCCAAGCCAAACCAATTTTCATTAGCACAACCATTATTATTTGGAAAATTGGTATGTATGTCTATAGCTACAAGCGGATTGTTATTTTTAAATCTTGATTTCACTGCAGATAATAATTTTCCTTTTAACTCTCTGTCGTCCAATCGGACAGTGACTTCTATTCAATTCATTACGAATTTTAACTCTGAAAACTATCTATGTGCGCTTCTTTAAGCTCAACTTGAAGCGAATCGGCCAAGGCGAAAACAATTCGACTGAGTGATTCGTTTTCCATTTTATAGGCATATACGTATAATACCAGTAATATCAAGGTTATTGCGAAGTTGGTGTTGTTCAGAGATATTCGTACTATTTTTGAGATTCTCTATATCTAGTGGTAATACAAAATACTTTTTTCCATTTCATTAATTTGTTTATTCTGTTCACTCAACTGCTGTAATACGTTATCAATTTTCGTATTAAACTCGTTGAATTTGTCACATAGAAACGAAAACGATTTTTCAATTGCTGAGTGAGACGAAGTTAGATTATCTAACCTGGGCAGTATATTATTAACATTAATTTCGGAGCACGTCAAATGGACGCGGTCATTTAGACCAAACACAATTGGGCGCATGACGCAATTTTTTTTTTTGTTTAATTATTATTATTGATTTATTTTTTAATATGTAATAATATTTTAGGTATTTCCAAAGATTGTATATTCTATATTTAATTATAATTTATTTTATTTTTATTTTATACATACGTTTATTTTGAAAAATAAATCAATAATAATAATAATTTAAAAACACGGCGTCGAAATGACTCGACATCCCAATCGGTGTGTCCGTTTGGACACAGAAAATCTCCTTAAAAATGCTCCGGCATGTTGCAGACTCAAAGGTACTAACCTAACCTAACCTGCAGTAATTGATTTTTTTGATTTTATCTACATATAATATGTATGGACGACATTGGCAGTACCGTAAGTTTAGTTTTTAGTAAGTATTTTCAACTCGAAAAAAATGTTACAAGATTTATGTGCCTAAATTTGTTTGTTGAGAGTTTTATTAATTTATTTTTTAATTACAACAGTTTGTCGAGTACACGCCGGATTTCCAGCTTCCCATCATTGTCATTTATCGGCTGTAGAAAATTGAACGTGTAATAATCATTGTGATCAAATACCTGTCGTCATTGTCATAATATTAAAAAAAATAAAGATATATTTATGTTACAACAAAATATATGACAAAACTGGCTAAAATGCGACAACAGTATTATAGTACGTATGACATTTGGTACAGAGAAATAATGAAAAGGTGCTTCAACAGTTCGTTGTTAATGACGTGTCATAATAATAATAATAATAAAAAAAAACAATATATAGATAAATTCATTAATACGACGATAAAAATGTAGTTTAGGTCACGTTTTAAATTTAGATAGCGACTGCATGTACGCCGATTCGTTGTCATCGTCGAACCGTCCATACACACTCGCAACGATATGGACAATTTATACTTTTGCGGTTTTGCAGCAGAGCTTTTTCGTTTTTTATTTACTGAACAGAAAATCGACCAGCCATGGACCAGATGTAAATATACGTGAACTCTTTACTCTGTACCAGCGCCGTCTCTGCTGTTGCGTGTTCGTAATAAAATTATTTACAAACTATTGATTTCTAAATTAAAAGATGTCGACGTAGAAAACATAGACGCTTTTGTTCCGAGTTTTCTCGTGGGGATCGGCCTCGAGTTAGGATCAGGGTTATTTAATCGGGCGCCGGTGCCCAAACGCCCAGACATACAAAACCAGATAAACGAACAAAATAAATCTGGCCCCCGGATTCGAGTACCTAACCTGCACATTATACGTATGTATGTATGGAAAAAAAATAAAAATAAATTCGACAATTTTATGCGAGCCGAACATTCCGTACCGATAAAAGAATAAGCGCACACTGGTCCCTTCTCGGTTGTACGCACAGGTATCCCGTTGATCATGATGTTTCGAAGTTTTCAACAAAATCGGTTAACGCCCGGGCGAGCACGGTAAACACCATCCCGTTAAATTCAAAACGGAGTTATTTGCGTTGCGGAAAGTACTGTTTATTTCGAAACGACCACAGTGTTTGTTGAATTCGGTTGTTTGGCCCGATAACCGAACGCAAGTATTATCTTTGTTTCGATAAAAATATCAAATCGTCTAAAATCGCGAAAATAACGATACCGGACGGAGCAGTTTTGGCCGGCTAGGGTTTTCGGCATTACCGTCGGGGGAGGGGGGGGGGAGGAATCGTTAACAGATAATTACCGACGGATACCGTCAAATTTGTCGGCGGTTTTTTGTTTTCCTTCCGAATCCTATTGAAACACCGCGCACGGGAATTCGGAATTTAGATTTCGACAAGACACGATGCGAATGTCGATTTGGAATGTCAGTGCGTTTTCCGAGAGAAGAAACAACCGGAAAATGGGCGGACCCGCGGCTGAACAAACCGCTGAACAGACATTCGGTTAAACTGCGAAAACCGATTTTCAAATTAAGCGACGAGTAACAGCGGTTCAGGCGTGCGCACGATTTCTGTGTTTTTGTTTCGCCCGCGTACCGTGGTGCGATCCGTTTTAGATTCCGGATGCCGGCAAGCGCGCAACGGACGGCCGACCGGCGTTCGTTTGTACAATCGCGTCCGTCACGCTAACATACGGTAATCGCAATGAGAACCCGCGCCGTGTCCCGCGGAATTTGTTGCGTTTCGTCGACGGGAGTATTTCGGATTCCCGTCGGCCGCCCGACGAGCGTGCAACGCGCGTTGCTGCAGCCGATTAGGCGCCGCCGCCCGTCCGCACCGCCGCGCCGCCACGACAACAACAACAACAACAACAACAAATATAAGTTCAGCCGGTCGCCGGTCGCTCCGACACTCTGCTGCCGACGCTCCTGCCGCGAACAACGTGTTACAACGGTGAGTTTAATATTTTTTTTTTTCAATATATTTTTTTTTTTTTTTCTCTAAAAGTTTGAATAACGCGACATAATATCGCGCGCGATCTCATATTTTTCACGCGCGCTGACCGCGGTATTGCTGCGCGGGGCTGACGGGACAGGGTTTATTATTATTATTAATATTATATTTTTTTTCGTCGCGTTTTAAATACACCAAACGACGATAATGTATCGTCACCCCCGATACATTACGCGTTTTTCGGTTTTTAAACGGTTCGCAATTTATTTATAATACATTTATTTTGTTTTTCGCACTTTTTACCATTTTTGTTTTTTTTTTTTGTTTTTGGTTTTTTCGTCGTCGAGGGGATTATTATTCTGCGCGATGACACGCGCAGCCGTCCCCCGTTTTACGAACGACTGCACATAGACGAATGTGCGTTCGTTGCGCCGTTGGTTTTCAACGTCGTTACACACTCGAAAGACGAGTGCGCGCTTCGGTTTTTTTTCTCCGTTCTCATTTTCAAACGAGAACATAAATGTCGGTATTCCGCACGGGTATACGCGTATCGCGCTTAACGCGATTCGGATACCGCGAACAAAAAAAAAAAAAAAAAAACCGACGCGGTTGCGCCGGATGCCGTGCTTGCGGTTCAAGTTTACTGGACGATACGACACGCGAAGTGTGATAATTCACTGCAACGTTAAATCTGTTACAGCGCAAGCGGTTAGAGCCGAATGCGCCGAACGCTAATTCGCCGCGCCGTGCGTCTGTAAGACCGTACATCACGTCATCCTCGCGCGGGTGAGGCATTCATCTGCCCGTCGGGTTGGTTCGCCACCGTGTGCGAGATTCAATCCGAATAGCGCGGCGCGAGTTGACGCAGACGAGCGTCTAGGTTTTCCAGCCGACCGATTGTCCAGCAACGGTTATACTTGTCCCACCCGACTACTACCGAATTCCCGGCCGTACATCAAATCGCAACGCGTTTTACTCGCGTAAAGTCGTCCGTTCGCAGCGCGTGTTGATTTTACCCGTCTTTACGCCGTCGTAGTAACCGTCCCCGCTTTCTCATTTCTCTTTCCCGCGGTCCGGCAACGTTCGCGTTCGGCTTTCGCGGGCCCGGCGTCGTCTGCAATTCACGGAAACCGTTTCGGAAAACACCCGCCGACGGCCGTGCGCCCAACAGTGTCGCACGACGCGCCGGGTAACGGTCGACGGGCGCCTGCAGGTCGCGTACCCCCCGGCGTTTCAGCGCGGCCGGTCGCCGCGTTATTGCGTATCGTGTGCCGCGGTACAATTGCCGTTCGGCGACACGCGGGCCCCCGTGTCGTTTGTTTTTTTTTTCATCGACTCGCGTTTAACGTTTTACGCTCGTCCGCGCATTCATTCGACCGCCCGCGCCGTCGACGACGACCGTTCCGTCGTCGCGGGTCAGTTTTTTCTCGCCGTGGCCGAGGCGAAAGCGTCCAAGACGAGACCGATTCGTTGAGCTCCCGATATGAGTTTTCCGCGCGGTGCAGCGCCGCACCCCCTCCCCCCCACAGCGTTTATCACTGTTCGGGCGGCGACTTTTAAAACCCCGAAAACACTCGGTCGGTGTTTTCCCGGCGTTCCTAAACGCCGGCGCACGACGGACGGACACCCGGCCGGCCGCCCGTAACGATATTTTCAAAGTGATCCCGCCCGCCCGCCGCTGAACAAAAACGAAACGTGGTAATATGCGATAATGTCAATGACCGCGGCGACCCGCGTTCGACGCTCATACCGTTTACGGCCGTCGGGTTTCGCAACACGACATTTACTACTATACGTTTTCGACCGGTAAATATCGTCGCGTATTTTTACCGAGCCGCGCATCTGCCGAAAACCCCTGTGACGACAATCAATTTTTTTCAAAAACTTTGCACGGAGATCCGTTACGACTGTAACGGGGGCTGTGTGCACGGGTCTCAGCGTTAGGCTGTTTTGCGGTTTCGTCCAGTTTCAGAGGCGCGCGTTGGTTGTTATTGTTCACTATATGACGTGGTGGTGGGTTTTTTTTTTTTTTTTTTCGGTTCGTGTTACTTTCCGCCACATATGTCGGTTGTCCCAATCGGACATTTTTATGGGCACTTTTTCGTAGCTTTTTTCCAATCGGTCTGCAGTCGGTGCGTGTCGTGAGCAGGTCCCAAACTGGTCGCGTTCGTTTTGAGTGGCGTACCCAACGCCAGCGTCAGACCTAGACAGGGACAGTAACCCGTAATGCCGAAATTGCGACACCGTATTGAATTTTTTTTTTTTTTTCACGTCAGTCGAGCGATCTGGACGAACCTGTGCGAACGCGTCGGTTTTGACGACATTCGAATAGAAAAACCAAACGTTACTTGTATTGTTATCATTATTATTATTGTATTGTAATATAATTTTTTATCGGCGCATTTTTCTATTTGTCGGTGTGGCGGTACGAGACGGGTCTCGTTTGGAATACAGTCCGTATTTTTTCCCACACGCACGCGCACTGTACTTTGTAATCTCTATACGTCGTGTTTCACACGATTTTAGTTCGTTCCGTCGAAGGTCGTTACAATATTACGCTGTACTGCGATACAGACGATGCGTGTGTGTGCCTTTTTTCTCGGACATTGGCGAACGATAGTTTTCGCGAGTTATTCCGTTGTCTCAGCGGACGACGCGGCGGCACGGCGAGAACGTAGATAAAAAAAAAACAAAAAAAACAACGAGAATCTCGAAACTGTAACATAGGCGATTGGTTCAGGTGTCCGCGCTGTGAGATTGCGCGCGGAGGATTACTCGTATCGCCGCGGTCCATAAAAACCTGTTTGTTTGCCGACGAAAAAATAATAATATTGTTGGGTAGCCGCGCTGGATACGAAACGCGCGAATCTAATGGTTTCACGGTTACCTACAGCGATGACTATGCTGCGCGAGCTGTACGAGATTTATTTTGATAATACATCACGGTGTACAATAATAACAACAACAACGACCTCGGGGGATAAAACACATATTATTAATTCGAACGCAAATTGCAAATAAATAAAAAAAAAAAAAAAAAAAACCCGGTGAAATTAAACTCGACTATAAAAGGTTTAGGCGTGCGTTTTTCGAATTTCAATTGAATCAATTATCAATAATTCCCGGTGTATTCGAATTTTACTGTCGTCGGGGCGTAGGCGTGTCTGTTAGTATTTACAATATCCGGACGTTTATTTGTCTGGTCGCGAAAAAAAAAAAAAAAACGTGTTCACACATCTTACGACCTATTATTATTACTATTACTATGGTATGATTTTTTTTTTTTTTTTTAGATTAACAATTATATTGCCACCGAGCATTACGTTTGTATTAGTCATAATTATTCGTCGCGGACTTTGCGTCGTCGTTGTAAAAATACCGTACAGGCAATCGTACTCATAGAGTGTATTAGCAATTTATGAACCGATTCGAATGTTATAGAACCGCTACTCATCGTTTTCGTGTAATTATAATATTATTCCACTCAAAAATTAATATTGCCATTATTCACTTTTCAAGTAACCGTTTTTTTAATGTACGCAGCGCAATTAAACAACACGGGCAATTATTACGTCTCGTCCCTCTCGCGCAATAATATACCTTAACGATTGATTTGCACGGTCTTTTTCAGCGTCGGGCGAGCTCGGATTTTTTATTATTATTATTATTATTATTTTTTTTTTTTTTGTAATCGATTCCGATCAAACTTAAAAGTCGAGCGTTTACTCGTTTAAAGTGGAGCGGACCGAACAGAATTTGTCGGATCAGTCTCGACCAATTCTACATTAAACACAGATCATAAATTTTAGTATTGCACTAAAAATCTGTTTTTGTAAATTTAAACCGTCAATCATTATGGATCTTATCGAAAGTGTTTGGCTTAGAAGTACCTAATCGGTAAGTGTCTGGTCGTTACGTTTATTTGTTTAGACAAATAAACAGTCGAGATTTCGAACAACTTTAGTTTTGTTTATTAGATCTTGAGCGAAACGAGTAACGTAACAGTTTTACAATGTCGTGATTTTATGAACAATTTTTTACATAAAATCTTCCTCCGGCCTGAAACAATCGTATAGAAACTTTCTTGTATCATTTTTTAATCCAGTCGGTGCATCCGGGTGGCCATTCATTGATTTTCCTTGTAGTTTTCTTTGATGAACTGTGAAAACTAGCAATTTTAAAGGTATAATTTCTGTTGAATTCTGATTTATCTTTTGGCAACAAGAGAAAAAATTCTTAGCTTGAAACCGTTTTTTGTCAGCAACTGTTGATTTTTGCGTATAAATATAAATATAAATTACTTTACATATTATCCTACTAACCGGCTTCCCTCCTAAAATAAGCGCACGCCCATCAGCAGCAGCATTCGTTTTTTTTTTTTTTTTACTTAACGAGAATCTATAAATTATTTTTATATATGTGTTCGAAACGTCGCATCTTGTTTATGTTCACGATTATTATTTTGTCTGAAAGCGATATAATTTTAGAATTTTTGTATTATGTTAATAGGACGTTTGCCAACTTGTTCTTTGATTGACTACAAGTTAATGATACCGTTTAAAACATTTTTTTATTTTCATAAATTTAATATTCTGTTACATACTTGCATTATACTATACTGCAGCATATCATTTTTCCTCTCATTCGATGACGATTTTTCTGTTGAAACAATCATTTGCATACCGGTTGTTTTTCCGGGGTTTGTCTTGTAATAATATTATATCCTGTTTTCAAATCAACATCTGTTTGCGGGAAATTAAATTCCGATGGAGCGTATTTTAATTTTCACCGGTACGTACTCCTAAACGAACTGTTTCGAGTGAAAATCAACGTCAGACAATGAACGCGCGTGTTTAAATTCTGTTCCGAACGTCTTTATGTTGTCTCGATAGTTAATTCATAAATCCATAAAGCAAAACAAAAAAAAAAAAAACGTACATAATTAATTATAGATAATTTTTTATATTGATAGTTAATCGGACGGGTCGATAAAATATGTTCGCGTGATAAATATAACTGTACAAGTTTATTATTATTATTATTATTATTTTTTTTTTGTTATTTACCAATAAGTTTCAACAGTAGTATAATTTAATCGTTTTAATCATTTTTATTTTTTTTTTCTTGTTGCATACGTATATTCTTTAACTAGATGTACTGAAACGGACGTCTAATTAAATTTTTTATCGAAGCGTTTTGCCATAATATACCTTTAATGTCGACGGGGTTTTGTTAAAAGGGCGTCTGTCAAAGTTCTTTTTTTTTCCAGGAAGCAAAAAAAATTATTTCGCAAAAAGACAGCAAAACAGTTTTTAATGATGTTTGTCATGGAAAGCAATAACATTACTCGTATGCACACGGCACCTCTTGTACACAAAGTGTGCATGCGTTGAATGTGGTTAAAACAAATCGGGGTTGATTTAATTATATTTTCAAAGGGCGCCTGGATATATTTTATTCGACATTACCAACTTAATTTTTTGTATTTAAATATGCTCTATTACCAGTTACGTTCATGATTTTTTTGATACCAAAAACGTATTTTTCGATTTTTAACGGTGCACGCCGTTTTAGGAAAACACCGTCGATATTGTACGTAGGTTGCATACTTGTAGTTTACGGAAAGCAGTTTTTTTATTTAGGTACACGCATATTACCGTGTTCAATGATGTGGTTTATGTGCGGCAGCGTTTCCGCACTTTTCACAGGACGATTTAACCAGTCGTTTGTCACGGATTTTTGAACAAACCGATTTAGAACCGTGTATTATATTTCTTTGCTCGTAAACACATAAATACGCCGAGAAACTTATTGAGATTGTTACAACATAAAATTTATGTTAAAATACTTTTTCATATTGGTTAAAAGCGATATATATATATATAAATGTATTTTTTAAAACAATTGAATTTCGTCGTCTTTCTCCCAATGCCTGGTGTAAATTGACGTTTTACTGGTGTAAGACGACGTATGGAATTGACTGTGTATAGATAGATTCCTGGTAGATTGCAGTCTACCAGGTCAAATTATTTTTTTAAACTGTGTAGCGTGTACAAATGTACATAATGTATATTACATTATTACCGTATTATATTACCTATGTGTCATCCTATTCGCGACAGCTTGACCCGGTAGATGATATTTGTACCGTTTTGATATATACGTACCAGACACGAAAAGTGTACGCGGTAAAATTAATAGGCTTACAGCACGGGTAATACTCGTTAATTTTTTTTATAAATATTATAACCAAACGGTTTTTAGAAAACTTTTATTTAAAAATGTCTGATGATTTCACCAATAACAGAAATTCATACGGAAAATCGTACTTTTCTTATCAGAACAATTTTCAATCGGTGGATAGTTGTTTTTAACAATACACCATCATTATATCGGTTTCTGGTGCAATATCGAATTTTACGTATAATCTATCCCGGGTCGTCGCCGAATCGCTATTTTATTTACAAAACAACAAAAAATAATCGACTTAGTTTTCATTTTATTTTATGTATGCATGTATTATTACCGCATTACTGCAGTTTAGTAAATAAACAGGGTGATCAGAATTTTATGTTACAGCGATTTTCTCCTATAAGTATACTAAATAGAGATAAACGTTTAGTAAAAAGGTTGTTCGATTTATAAACATCTAAAATAATTTGTGTATTTATTTCCTGTCTTTTTTGTTGGGGTTTTGGGTGTAAACTTTTGAAATTCAAATGGGAATCTATGTTCAAAATTTCATAAATCTAATATGCAGTATTAGTTTGAATAAATGTCGGTGTTGAAATTTGTAATTTCCGTCAACTCGTTGACGAGATATTCCACTTTTTAATTTAGGGTAGGGGACGAGCAGTGGAACTGTGGAACATTATGCACTTGCGTATAACGGCGCGGTGTTTGAATAGCGTTCCATAGCTCTCCCCTAAACTCTAAAGTGGAATATCTCGTCAATTTTTTTACGAAATTTCGAATATAGGGTCCCGTTAGAATTTAAATATTTTACTTGCAAAACCCAACCAAAAAAGACAGAAAAAATACAAAAAAAAATACATAAAAATTATTTTAGATGTTTAGAAAAACGTTTTTATTATACATTTTTATCTGTTTCGTATATTTATTGGAGAAAATTGCTGTAGCATAATATTCTGATCGCTCGTTTGATAAATCTATACATATAATACCGATAATCGAACGCATTCGTAATATATCTGCATTTCGGTGGTATTCAATCTGAAAAACGCGTAGGTTTGTTTGGTTTTTTTTTTTCTCAACTACGGCGACATATATAATATATTATGCTATTTACCACGCGTTTGTAAATCCATATGTATCTACATATAACATTTAATAGTTGCGGCGTGCCTATTATAATAATTGCGCGAGCACGAATTAGGATATAGCCTCCAAAAAAAAGTTATGGCGACGCGTGCGTTTTCGTATGCAAAATACCGACCGAAAATCTCGTGAATTCCGCGGCCGCTATAGCCTCAGGATGGAAGTATATGGAAGTATATTATATTATAACATGTAAGTCACACCTGGTCGTCCTTCGAGCCACTGCTGTAGGATGACCCGAATGTCGGATTACCAATCTATTTTCTCTCGTTGGCGGCTTAAACAATAATAATAATAATAACAATAAGTTTGTACCTATATATGGGAAATAAATTGCAGGTTTCGACGGACGAGTGTAGGAAAAATGTGTAGAGATTTACCTCCCCCCCTCTATGACTTTTTTCCCTCTCTTGAACATTTATTATATTACCCATAGATATACTAAAAAAAAAAAAAAAAGTCTCGTTATAATATACGAATCGCTAAATGCAGAAATGCATTTTTTGTTGGGCAAAAATGTTCAAATGTTTCAAATGTTAACATTTTTCAAGAAAGACAAAAACTTCTCAAGTACCTAGAGTTTTATGATATTTTGTTTTTATTTTTATTTTTTTCAGAAATAATTTGTTTTTTTGTGTTTCTTGTAAAATTTGAACCGGTTTTTGAAATTTATTTCCCTTCTGAATAATATATATTATAGCCTCTTTTGAATACCCACACGATATTTATTTTTTATTTTACCATACCGATGATGATCTAATATACCTATTGCACACGAAGGTCACTGCTTCCATTTTTTTTTTTTTTTAATGTGCAGCACAATCGTGTACTTATATTATTTTTAAAATAATTGCGTTGTGTTAGCAACCAACGTTACCGGGCCTACTATTATACATTATCTAATTTGTAAACAACACGATTACGTATACTATTTATACAATGTTATTTTTAATAGTCAACCATAAATTGTATAGTAATTTGTATAGTGAATTTTTTCGTTTTGTCCGTTCGCAGATATACAGACTACGCCAAACGAAAAAGTTAATTAATTAATCGCAACAATTTCGACCGACAACCGACAAGATGGCCATCACGAAAATCACAATGATTAAATTCCTGGAACTCGTAAGTACTTTTTTTTTTCATTATACATAATACACATCCCGCCCACCGTCCCAAAGATAAAAAATATTATGTAAGGTCGCTTTTAAATAATTGATTACGGGTACAGGTTCGTTGCTTTTTCTTCGGCGGTCGAACATAGCGTGTAAATATTCCATTAATATTGTCGTATATTACGGTTTTTTTTTTTTTGTTTTTTTTTTACCACAAAGGTATATTATTCGCGGTAGTACCGGCGCAGTTGGCACGATTACGATAATAATACATTATAATATCATACAATGCGATATTATTGTGATCAGCGGTCGAAAACCGCCGCGCCAGTGTTATTTGTTCGAAGAAAGTTTTTTTTTTATTACTATTATTATTATTATTATTTTTTTTTTATGAACCTGTCAACTTTCGAGTACCTACACTGCAGTAGTCGTTGTTCCACATTATCTATATATGTCGAAAATAATTGAAACGCGTTCGCATTGCTAATAGCCTAACACATGATATATATCCTTTATCGTGATTTCTTTTATAATATTATGGCGTTCGTAAACCGTAAACACCGCATACATACCCAAAAAAACGTTTAACGGCGCACAAATCCATTGACCCTGTCGTACGTACTTTCTAAACGAAAACAAAAAAAAAAAAACCTCCGAATTCCCGAACCTCGTGTCGCGTCCTTCTAGAAGATTCTTTTTTTTTTCTACATTATGACGTAGGTATACTGATATTGCATAATACACACGCAGAGGATATTTCGTTATTTTGTTAAAATAATGAAAAAACGGTTAATAAAAAAAAAAAAAAAAAAAAAACCAGCGAAAAAGCCATAGTTTTATCTCGGTAAATTCTCTTTTCGGTTGTAGTAAAAATGTACCAAATTATTCACCTCGAATTATTTTTCTAGATTACCAACAGTTTTTCTTAAAACTAAAAAGAATTATATTACAAGCATTATATAACTTAAAACAGATTGCCTAGCTACCAATTAGTATTGGTTTACTGTAATGCGTTTTTTTGTTGTGTCGTCTGCAGTAAACAACTTTTCTACCATAAATCTTGGTTAAATCAAAACCTTTACTGCAACTCTTGTAGCATTTTTTTTTTTTATCTAGTTGGTGAATTGAGGAGTTTATTTTTTGATTTTTCTCGTAGTTTTCTTATTAAATGGGAAAAACTGGACATTTTTTGCGTAATTTTTGTTGATTTCTTGGTTACCGTGACAACAAGGGAAATATACTACAAATATAATATTCTTCACAGAATCGTTTTTCGTTAGTAACGGTTTATCGTACAGATATAAATTAAATTACTCTATGCGGTCTCCCTTCCAACGTCTCTCATAAAACAATGGCACACCCATCAGCAGTCTCTTTCAATTTCAATCGACGCTTTCAGTATAAATCACTCGCCAGAGCCGTAACAAGGCTTTTGATTTTCGCGTTATTTTCTGGGATGAGTTCTTTGCCAGAGTTAGTATTACCCGGGCTACAGCTTAGAAATTACCCTGTTCTTACACAATCCTCCACCTTCCAAACTTCTCCGGGGCCTACCCATGGTGCTGAGTGCGCGTGTCCGGTTCTTATTCTAAGTATTTGAACAGCGTTATACGGCGGCCGTTGCGGCAAACCATCACCGATATTTTCAAACAACGCAGTAGGTCTGTTCGTTTTCAAAAGTTAGTGTTTGTATTAGTGTTGCGAAATTCGGCGTATACATAATTCGGCAACGCGATGTACCCACCAGATCTGTAATACTTTTTCTAAACGCGCTTTTGGCCGTGGTACGCCGGCCGTGGAAAAGCGCACGATTTCGTTTTGAAAACGAACAAAACTGTATTTGCATACTTATCGCTAAATTAGCCGAGCACTTTGGCTATTGGCCCGTTGTCAGCATTAACGGTTTACTGTTCGGGCGACGGTTTTAAATAATACTGCGCGCTCAATTACGCGCGTCGATATTGCCGCGGAGAAACGTTTTTTTTTTTCTTTTTTCTTTTTTCCAACTACTGGATACCGACACAATTCATATAACGAGCGTGTAATACGCCCGCGGTATTTTGAAAAGCGATGGGAACCGTGATGGATTCGACGTATATTATTTGTCCACCCAGCAGCCGTAGCAACAGTATTCGCGGTACTCGCGCGCGTTCCGGAATATTTACGCGGATACGCTACTCGACTGATTGGTGATTCGGGGCCGCCCGCCTGCGGTGTACCTGCCGGCCGTGATGTGCGACGTATTTATCACGCTAACAACGATTGCGCGCTCCCGTCGATATCCGTTTTCTCCGCGCCCTGTCCGGTCGTACAGGCGCGCGATCGTTGTGTTTCGCACCGGGGCACACTCGCGCACGATTGTCTTAATTCCATATAATTGGGGGGGGGAGGAGGAGGAGGAGGAGGAAGGGGGGCGCCTGTAGTTCAAACGATATTTGCCGCGAAGAGTTATAGCGATTGTGTCGTAGTATTATTCGAATGTCTCGGTATTGGATTGATTGCGGGGGCGTATGTGCAGTAGTCCGGCGGTTTTTTTTTTCGGTCGGATTTCCTCCGAAAACTGCGTCTGCCGGGGCACTGTATCGTGTCCGTTATAAATTAACTACAACGCACGTTTTTCCCGTTACTTTTCGGATACTTTTAGTGACTCTCTACGGACCACAGATGAGCTCGGACTCTGGAGTTGTTTTTATGGGTGATAAAAGTTGCGTTGAACATCAATATGATAGATTTCACCGTGTTGTTGCGGGAGGAGGGTGGTTTTCGGCTTCGAACATCCCTACAGACCGCCCGAATGAAAACCGAGGGAAGACATTCTGTTGTACTCGCGTCCTAATAAATAGTATCTTGTGGGTTTTGACTTTCGATTCCTCTTCCCCACTCAAATTTCACAATTTATTCGTAATAGTAATATATATTTTTATTAGGATTAATCTAAAAATAATTTTCCTATATAATTTAAAAAATCGGCGGGAAGGTGGGTAAAATTCGATTCTAGTGGCGGTGCTCTGCTGTTCTAGGGTATATATATATTTGTTTTCAACAATACTTTTATTACATTTTGGAAAAAGAAAAAAATTGACAATTTTCACATACCTATTATCACACCGAAATTACCGTTTTAAAACTCCGCGATGTTAATACGTGTGTTATTATTTCTTAGATACGAAATATTTCTCTCTCTCGTATACGATGACCGGTATACGCGGTCGCAATTATATTTTCAGTAAGTCGTCTTGCCGGAATTGTTACTCAAACATTTATAGTCGTCTGTTAAGTGTTTATTACATTTGTGCAGAGGAAAACGTCCTTACTCGAACAGTTTAATAATCGTCTTAAACGACGACGGTACGTCCCTTTTAACGGATATTTTATTATACATTTTATAGTTTACGATTATAAACAATTGCACTCGAATATTGTGTCGGTCAGCTATAATTGGGGGGGGGGGTTAGTCTAAAGTGGAGTTTATCGATAATTATATAGTCTGTGTATACACGGTATATTAGTATTATTTAAATTATAGGCACTTGCACTGTACGTGGAAGGTATGCATTATGTTATAATAGTGTAGAGACATTTTTACACGCGTATGCTATGCGAATAACCCTCGAAGAAATGATTTCGAAATTCGACACTTTCGCTATGATATATTTTACATTCCGATTTTTTTTTTTTGTAATTTTATTTAATAACTACAATGTGTTTGGTGCGAAAATAACGTCGTGTGGTTTTAGTGAAAATACAAATTGAGTATCGTTTTTTTTCTCTCTCTTCCGCAAGCATTAACATTTTTCGATGGATATCAACGCCGAAACGGGTTGTTTGAAATATTAGATTCTGAGAGTCTCTACTGTATTTATTTTTTTTAAATCGTCATCATTTTTTTTTTCTGGAAGAACGTACGTGTTCGATACAGACGCGTGCGGTAAACATTATTTATAGACAGATATAATTGAACGCATCTGCTTAGGTTATACATTTTACTTTAGAGAATAATACGTAATCCGATGTGGTGAGACACTGAAACGATTGCTCAAATAACAATTCATGAACCGTCTGCTTTTTTTAAAACAATCGCCTTGTGACAAGTGTGACTAATAATATAATAGTATAGTGGACTAGTATGAGATTGTATTATTTTATAGTCTGTGGCGTAAACTGGCCTGTGCAAATTATGTAGACATGTGGTGGTACAAACCTTTCTTTTTGCACCACTGGAAGAGGTTAGGTGCACTTTAATTTTGTTATGATATAATTTTATGATGGAACAGCTATCACATGTGACAGTGTGAGTGCGTGACACATACCAACAAAGAAGAGTAGTCGTCAAGTTAAATTGCGTGAATTAAATCCAATGGCATTCTTTGTCCACCGTTGTGCTCGCATATTGAATATAATAACGTTTTTACTGTTCAAATAATTCAATACTTATTTTTTAAAGTTAATTATTGTATGTAAACAGTTCTGAACAATCCGAAATACCTCCAACATCTTTGTTTCCCTTTAAGTTTTATCTAGATGTCGACAATAAACTAATAAATTGTCGTAAAATGTGATAGAAATGTGTTAATAAAACTATACTTCTAGATTCTAAGCGGAATGGTGATGTCAATTTTTTTTCTGTGAACAACTTTTCTACCAGAAATTTCGTTCCGATTTTCAATTATAGTACATTTTCCAAAAGATAATATTTGTAGGTTGATTTTCCCATGAGTTTTGTGCAACCAAACTACGCTCAAAATCGTTTTCCGTTAGCAATTTATTTGTTGCGTGCAGATATACATTAACTATCCCGTCTACCTTCTCAACTTCTCACCAACAACAATGGCCTACCCATCGTGCGAAGTATGTCGGTTTGTTTTTTGTTTTTTTTAATTGCTTGTCCTTCGAATGGCCAATTGTTTTTTGAGGACCCTGACACCGCGGAACCATCAACGTTTCACTTCACCAACTAACCCACTAGTGGCACGGCGTGAATGAGCAGCAGCTGCTTCACGACCATATTAGGTGGACGGGTGTATGTGTGGTAAGTCTTAGTTACACCCCACGATTTTTCTGGGCTTGGATTGTTGTATGAGGTTTTTCGCAATTTTACTAAAAATTACTTGATAGGAAAAATAAACTTTAGGCCACTGCTACAGTAGGTACCTACCTACATTATGATATTTTAGTCGGGTATACATTAGCTGGTATAATATTACACACAGTGCTCGTAGTTATTACGAAACGCGCGTGGTATCGTGAATCATAGAATGTGACGAACGTGGAATAGTAATCATTTTTTAATTTTGAACAACGGGTGCGACGACGACGTCGCGTCGGCGACTTTGGTCGAAACGTTTAAATATGTTTAATGTATTCTTTATCGCGCGTGTACAATAAAAAATAAAAACTTAAGACCCACGCGTGCTGCAGCTATAACGCATAATAATAATATGTTTATTATTAGAAAAATGAGTGTGACCCATATATGTTATTATGTTCGTTCACAAAATTATCATAAATAAAGAATTTTATCACCGATATAATATACGATAATACAATATTATTTTAGATTATTAGGTTTATTATTTAAACCATTATTTACATGGTTAAAATACGATTATCACCGATGTTAGAACTGGAGTCGACATTCCGGGATAATAGCAAGACGAAAATATGTGTATGCTGTTTGTTTTTCGAAAGTGAAAAAACGCGTCACTCATTATTACCCGTAATTCTATGTACTTAACACTTTACGTACGGAGTTCAGTTATATATACTTAAAACGCCGCAATGTTTACGATTTTCGTCAAAAATAGAAAGAAAAAAAAATTACATTAAATTCAACTTATTCTTGTTGACCATAAAGTACAACTTATAATGAATATCCTGTTAAATTTTCAAGCATTTCTGTTTGGTGTTTAACAATTTTATCCACAGAGGCACCTATCGAATAAACATTACGTAAAAAACTTGCAAAATTAAAATGCCTATAAATAGCTTAAAAATGGCTCAAATGTTTTGAACATTTTACCACGTCCATAAAAGGCAAATATATGGATTTTGTCGTAATGTCAAGTCTATACGAACATTTTTCACTGAATTGCAACAAAAAAAAAACAAAATCGAAAATAATATAAAAAATATTTTCGTAAACTGTCCTATCTTTTCTACGATTTTTCCGGTTTTTCACAATGACTATTGAAATTAATTTGAAGTACGTTTGTTGAATTGTATTTTACATTTGAATATGTGATGGTTGAAAAATAAAGTTAAGTATGAAAGTTACTGATTTTGTGCAATGTGAGCAGATTTCAAGATAATTTTAATTTTTAGTATATAGGTTTTGCGTCTCAAAAAATAAAAGTAACTTAAAAAACCCACGATTTCCATCTTTAACATTTCTTTCAAATTTTCAACAGCTTATTAGTTTTTTTTTTTTTTGAAAAACATTCGGTTAGTACAAAACATAATGCTGCGAATTATTCACATCGTACCTACCTTAAACGATGTGTCTTTTTCACCCGGTTAATACTTTATACTTTGTCTCTAAAAATATCAAAAAATCATGGCAACACATGTTAATATTATATCGGCTTTATTTTTGTTGATTTCTGGGTAACCTTGGCTATACATGGTATAGATTCAATAAAGGGGGAAAAATCATACATTGTATCTTTTGCTTTTCAAGTAATAAATTATGGCACATACTTTAATTGATGTAATTAGATACTTCAAAAGTGAAACCTTTGCATTTATAAGACCCTGTGCCAGTGTGTTTTTTGGTTTAAAAACATGCCTCATGGAAAAATGTTTATTCCTTTTAGTGATCATCCGATATTATTTTTAGAACAATTAAAACTTCCTACAGACCACATTGTACTTCGCTTTTCAGTATTTCCATCTAAAACTTTATAACGCGTCGTTAAAAAAAGATCAAGATTTTGTTATTTTCGATACAATTATTTGAAATCAAGTTATTTCGTTAAGGCCTTCGTGGATAGTTTTTGGGACGTTTAAATACGGTGCCTACATATTACTACAGTTTACCGAACTTCGCGCAGAATCAATTTTTTGATTGCGATGGTTTGCCGTTTAAATCGTATAAAATTAAACTAAATCGCTCTACGCGCATTCCCAATATTTCCCAACAAAACTGTGGGCTTTACTCACTCTTACACACTCACTAACACTGTATTTCCCGTACGAGGAGCGTAACGGCGGCGGTGTACAAAACACCTGCCTGGCTTTTTCGCTTTCGTTCGCTAATCGAAAACCGATGTTCGTTTACACATTAAATGTACGCTATACAACATAACATTACGCAACGCCGCATACAATGGGAATTACTCAACGCCTCCTATATACACACACACATATATATATATATATACACACATACATATAGGTCCGTTTCACATAAAACTTCGTCTTTATAACACAAATAATAACCTCAACGCGGTGTACGAAAACATTTAAATAATAGTACTGCGTACAGTATAAATTACAGGGTGTCTATAATTTACTCGTATAGTTTTTGTAGTTGCCGATGTCCTACGCAGATAACGAAATTCGAGCGAGGTGGGTTTTATTATTCCCGGTCTCTCATAGACCTGCAGCTATATTATTTTCAAACGCGTAGCGCGTACTCGTCTGTTTTACCACGATACTTGCACGTAACCGTATGCAGGACCCATACTTATATATTTTTACATGCGCCTATCTATTACAATATCGTGTAGGCAATAATGGTTTTTTTTTTTTTTTTTATTACGACTTTTAGACCGGTGGTTCTCAAACTTGTTCGTCCCGTAGATCACGTGCCGATTTTTTCTGGTTTTCGTAGATTCCAAATTTTGATTTTTCACAAACCCATCAATTTCGAACGTGTTTTCTTTAATCGCCGACCAAGGAAAAAATTAAACAAATTTTAAAATAAAACCATACCATTCTAAGTCTGTCTGTGTTCGTATACCTTTATTAATTACATTTGAATTATTTATTTAATAAGTCTATGTAGATATTATATGAATCGATAAATACAGAAAGGGGTACAATATACAAATTTCAAACATTTTCAACAAAGACAAAAATACTCAAATGTCTTTGAAAATAATTGAACAATAAATCCCACGTTAATAATTAATGTTATGGTCATGTCATGGACACGTCATAGACAAGACGTTAGACATCGTAGATATTCGAACAGACATATCGAATTTTGAACATTTTGAACACGTGTCCTTTCTGCAAATGGCGATTTGTGTAGTTTTTTTTATTTAACTCTTTCTCCTATTCACACATCTCACACATCCTCTCCTCCCGCAATTTTATATTTCGCTAACATGGTCCCCTCGCGGGTCAGAGTCGCCCTCTGGGGGTCACATACACACACGACTTCGGGAACCTCCGCTTCGGACGCTGTTCACCCGCGACGTTTGAATATTGCAGAGCACCTGTAAGGATAGGTTTTGTATAATGTAGGCTGTGTGCGATGCGACCGGAGTACTTATTATATTTCGAAACATGGCCATAAATTAAATGCAAAATAGGTTTACGCGAATAGATTTCCAAGTACGCGTTGGAAACGGCCATGAATATTATTATAGTTTCGGCACCGTGTACGCATTGTTTTTATATTACGCTGTGCCTACCGCTGAAAGTATAGTTCAATAATACATATGTACCTCATACACTTAAATACCCGCTGTGTATAATTATTTTTATTGCTGTCGTAAGTGTTTTATTTTTTTTTATTTTGTATCCACGATGTGAAAGCTGCGTGGTACGGATTGAATAATGCGATATTGCAGTGGACGGGACAGATCCTTGACACTATTTTTAGTTTTTTTTTTTATTTTCTCATATTTTCTCCTTATATTCCATACTCGCGATTTTGTCGTATTATTTTCTCGTCGGGTCGACACGATTTGCTGTAGGTTTATTACGCTCCTGCCGCTATGTATGGCGAATAGGAACGCGCGTTTATAGTTATCACCGCGGTGGTGTGTTGTGACATTATTACGTTTCTCGTTCGGCGGACCTTCACATCATAATATTATTACTATACTTTCAACGTCGCTTCTATATATAATACGAGTATGTGACTCCGGAATCGACCGATTTCCCGTGAAAAAAAATAAACTAGACAAAAATTCCGGCGCGCGCGGACGCCGATTAGGTGTTCTATGATGATTTGCGAAAGTTGAGCATTTAATTTCAAAACCTTACCTGACCTATTTTTTGCTTTTATATCATTTCTTTGTAGACAAAGCTAGCTACGATGATATTATATAACCGGCGCGTTAAAATTCGAGATTCTATATAATAATAACAGTGGAATCCGTACGCAGTTTATTTGAAACAATATTTTACTCTAAATAGAATTAGAATAATGATTTTGTGGCGAATCGATTTAAAATGAATTTCGATTGAAAAAATTATCCATAAATTTGAGGGGGGAGCTCTCGAGCCCTTAAGCTCTCCAACTTCCGAGTCTCGGTCAAATCAAAAATCTCGTTTTACATTGTGACTGTGATATACCTGATGATGGATTTTTAATTCGAAAACGGTCGTATAATACACTTATCATAATACTCCAACCGACGCATTCATTCGTTTATTTATTTTTTATTTTTATATACTAATTTTATATATATTTATTTATTTATTTACTTTATTTAAATAAAAAATGTTCATGATGAAAAAAATAGTCATTAATAAAATGGCTGGATAAGAATATGGCCAAATACAAAAACGGGCCTGGAAAAGATATCTTATGTTTTCGCCATTTTTGTTTTTGGGTATATTTTCCTTTGGTCACACTTTCCTTTATTTTAGTATATGGCCAATTTTTCTATGGCTCTTTTTGATTTTTCCATTATCATCGGCTATACCAAATTATAGTACTTACTTATAATAAATATCTAGTAACTACCTAATTTACTACTACCTATTTTTAGTATACTTAAGGTACTTAAAATATTTTCAGGCATAACGGACTATTGCGATTGTAATTTTCTTTCCAGTTTAATTTTCCTCGATAATTGTATGCGAAAAATAGCATTTTGTATCCTATAAGCCATTTTAATATTTGAATAAACCACATTAAATAAATCAAAATTAGTAATCGTTCTCGCGAACTGCAGTTAAAACACAACTTGAAATTTACATTCTAACAAAACTATACCTATCTACCTACCGTTCGTTTGCATATTATCCTATTGTTGAATGTAAATACGTGCCCAACGGTGTTATTGTTTGTTGCAGGTTTTTATCAGATTAATAATTATTGAAACAAAAATGTTCTGTTACCTTTAAATTATAATTTACGATATTTGAACACCAGCTGCGAATTGTAAACTGTGTAAATTTATCACGGTATATTGTGTTATACAAAATATTATCTCGTTTTCATTTCATTAAATTGTAGCAAACTCAGTGACGATTCTAACGTCAAGTTTAGTAGGCCAAAGCCCCTAGGGCGTCAGATATGTTTTAAATGATTTTTTTTTTAAATCTGTCGCTAGTAAACATAGTATTGAATGATGTATAACTATTTAAAAAAAATGAGGTAGAAGGGTGACCACGTGACTGTTCTGGAAATCTATTAGTCTATGTAGAGGTGGCAAAAACTTAAATAAATCATTGAGTAGTTGCTTGTTGAAAATGTTTTTGAGGTGCCATCACGGTTCCGTATAAATTAAGGCGGGTAAGTTGGGTAAAACAAAACACGCAGGATAATATTTAATAACAGTGTACATTTAATTATCACTATGTAATAATAATTGAATAATCAAATGAGTTTAATGAAAAAGGAACTTTTAAAACGTTATAACACATACGTGACACGTATATTATATCCAGATTTCGGAAGTTCTTGGACCTTTTTGTAGGTATTTTCGAATAAAATGAGTAGGGTGGATGGTAAATATAAAAGGTTAAGTTAGGTAACTCGGGGCGTCTCGGGTAAAATAATTCAAAACCCCGTTTCCGCCGAGTACATTATTATAGGGAGAGTTTTGGAATAAAAACTCCAAATATTTAGGAAAACAAAACAATTTTAAAGATTTGTTAACGTGTTTTTTTTTTACAGGCTCTAACCATCATCATATTCGTGTTGCATTACAACAGTTTCCCAGGCGGTAATGTCTCGACAGTGATGATCACAACCGGGACGTACGTCGGTTACGTGATTATTTTGGCGGGCATTTTCATCGGACTCTTCACAGGCACACCGATCAGCTCTAAATTGGTAATAAATCCTAAAAGTGTATTAGGTATCGAATTAGTGCGTGTTTCACATTGTACAAAACAAAAACAAAAAAAAAATACTCTTGTTTGTAATAACTATCTTATAATATTATTTTATGGGCAGCGAAAAAAATGACATGTTCTGCCTTGACAGAACTGTTACAATAAATACCGTATAAGTACGGTAGGAAAATGGTTTGAATTTTCAAAAAAAATTGAAATTAAATTTTTAAATTTGAATTATCTTTATCGTTATTAAATGACCAAATACTTTTAAGTATATTTTCGAAAATAATTAATTTAATTAATAAATAATTATTTTTTTTAATTTCCAGTAAAATAGTTAAATTTCTATTTCCAAACATATCCCAGTAAAGAACCTAAAGAATCATAATTCGTTTTCAACATTGAAATCCGTCAAATACAATCCCTACAGTTTTTTCTTGGCTTTTGGATGTGAATCGACTAAAATATACACCGTCACCACTCCCGTTAACGAATGACTTTTAATTATTTCAGGACATGTTCTACGTGTTGATCGGCGCAGCTCTGTACATTTCTTCGGGAGTGATGTCTTACACCTATTACGATGGGTTCACTCTGAAGTCGTCATACGTCACCACCGGCATGACAAAGGCGTGGCTGTCCATCCTTAACGGTGTCGTGTTCGTGGTCGACGCCGCGTTCACATACCGTGGAGAATGATCTGCGCATAATTTTAATTTTTGTTTAAATATTATTATTACGCCCAGAGAAATTTATCACGATCCTCATGAATACAAAAAAAAAAAAAAAAAAAAAAAAAAAAAACCAAGTATAAAAGTTCAGAAATAAATATAAAAATACTTTTACAAAAACACTGTGTACTATACACGTTCGTCTCGCAGTATTGTCTTTTTTTTCTATAATATTTAATGATGATAAGAGTAAAAACAAAAAAAAATCACAGCGTTCTGCAAACAAATACAATATTTGCCATGTAAATTAAATTCTTCCGCGATAAAAATACTGCTGCGGTAATAAATAAAACAAATCTTTTTTTTTGTACCTTAACCATTTCGAAATCGGTCCATTATTATTATCATATACCACGTATAAAAAACGTACTTTTATTATTATTATTATAAATGATTGTACGTCTGTAAAAAATAATATACGATTTATCAATATTATCACGCGACAGGAATGTTTAATCCGTTTATACACCTAGGTATATTATATTTATTTCCATTTAATTTAATTTTTTTTTATTAATTATAAGATAAGATAAGATAAGATACTTATATATTATGAATAAACTATTAGGCGTGTTTAACTCTGTCTACCTATCTACCTAATATTACAAATATAATTTATGTTTTTCAAATTTCAATTTTAAGAAATATACTTATCTCCGGATAGTATATATGTATACATATATATTTTTTTTTTTTTTGAAATCCATTGGAACGCAGTACATTAATTAATAATATTGATTCGATTTAAATTTATACCAAAAATAATAATAGATTATAATGTTATTAAATGCACATAATGCGAAATAGATTTTATAATGTTTATTTAACCGTTTTCTAATGATATAGTTTATTTTTAATGTATATTATAAATACTTATCGTTCTGTCCACTGTAAAACGTTTTACATATTATATAGTATTTTAATATATTTTTTATCAGTTCAGTTTATATTTATTACATATATTTTTGTTAATATTTGTTCAGTCTATAGATTGGATGAATGATGATGATTGAGTGAATATTCCTCCACTCTTCTCTATTCGCAGCGACTTCTATTGTAGGGCCCTTTTCCTGTATCAATATCCAACATAATAATTTGTATCATTAATGAAACAAATTGTTTTGATTTTACTCTCACCAGTTTCTCATCGATTCGCCTCTTTTCTATCAACGGTTGTCGTCTATATTACATACGTATATACTATCGTTCATCATAATATGGTACACCACATTTATCTGAATGATTTTCAATAAGCTTCGCTAGCATCAAATACTGAAAGCCTTTATTTTTTGTCCGCTTTTAGTATTGCATGTCCATGACTACTTCTATACAATGCAATGCTTCAAACCGTTGTTTTTATCAATGTTTTTTTAATATTAATGTCAATTATTATTGTGTTGAACAGTATTTGTTATATGATGCTATTTGAATCCTTGCCCATGCTAAAATTTACTTTTAAATATTATTATGCATACCAACGCAACTTTTATAAAGTGTTTTGGAGTTTTTGAAAAAAAAAATATATATATATTAACTTGTGTAGTACATATGTGAATAACAAGGATGGAATACAATCCTCAATAAGGAAAGTTGATCATTCATCAATTTTATTTTTGATATTTACTATATTCGATATTATTATAATTTGTATGTTTGACAAGATCATAACTTAATATTTTATTAGCATTAATCAAAAATTCATTTATTTCATTTTATTTTTTTTTGTAAATAATATTGACACTATTGAGCAAATACTACTAATAACTATTTAATTCTTTGTGAACAAATTACTATAATTTAATAGTAATATTTCTCTTTTTTGCTGATTAAGTTAGTTAATAAACAACAGTTACTCAAAAAAAAAATATCTCTCACTGGATAGTTAAATAGGTACCTAGGTATATTTTTTTTAAGATATAGATATATAAGTTCATATAAATTACAAATTTTTAAAACATAATATAGATAAGTATATTTTAATAATTAAACATGATCAAAAAACAGTAATCATAAAAAAAAAAAAATAAAAAAAATATCAGGAAATTGGACTTGTTTTATACTGGTTGGAAGTTAAAATAAATTATTTCGAAATTTTTTTAATTATATGATGTTTGTACAACTATAAGAGATGGTTAATAATGTATAATGCTAACCAAAAACCAGATATGCATGAAAACAAAAATAAAAATTTTTTTGGCAATTTTATATTGGTTTTTAATATATTAATTTAGGTTTGTCAGACATGTATTTATAAACGATGATAGTTAAAAGAAAATTTTTAATGTTTATTTTTAATTTTACTTTATTTTTGAGAGCTCTGTGTACCACTAAATATTTAAAGTGGAATATTTCTGAACCTTTTATTTAATAAATTCTAACGATATCGAACATGGTCCCATAAATATTGTGAGATGGTTTTTTTTTTTTTATATTATTGTTTCATGTAACGCTAGCATATCGGTTTAAGAACTTTTGATTTTTTTTTTTAGAAAAATTTTAATAATTACCTAACAATATATAATAATTTCGATGTAGGGTTTGTAAAAGTGGTTTTCTTAAGTTGTGTTATGTGTTTATTGTAGTAATACAAACAAATTAAGAAAAGTAAAGGTTACAGAAATATAATTTAATAATGGGTTGGTAGCTATATAGTAACTCAAAACAGGAATAGGTCTATATTAGCTATAAAATCATCTCATTATTTGTGGTAACAAATAATAAATAATTGTTTTAATATATCATAAGTTCAACTTACTGATTATATTACCACCTTCCTTCTGATATTTGGTGTGATTCGGATTCATAAATCCGAGAATGGTAACGAAATCAATAAATTAAAACTATAACGGCGTTGGAACATTAGGGTCAGATATATCCTTGTATAGAAGATAGAACTTAGGGTCAGATTTAATTTATATTTGTTTAAGAGTATATATGCATAATCTTTTTATTTTATTATTTAAATAGTAATAATTTTTCGATCTTCTACAATTTTCGTTAAAATTGAAAAATGAATAAAAATAATTTTTTTTTATATAAATATATGACGTTTAATGATAGTAACCTTTTTGATTCTCTACTTATTCCTTTTTTTTGTATTTTCAAATTAAATTTATAAAGATGAAAATGTATGCATGAAATATATGATTTATTTAATTTAATGTATTAACTAAATAATTTATTTATTTAAATTTTGTATGTTTATTATAGAAAAGTATTATTATAAATGATAGATGCTTACGTAAATAATAAAATATCTTAACTGTTACATTTATTGATTCGTCACAATTCTCAGCAAGTAAAATTGAGCATTAAAGTTGGACACCACTTTGTACTACTGTACGAAAAATAAATAAGATAGAATATACTTGGGTAAATTTTTGGTAATACAAAGAATGAATTATTTTTAAGATATGTCTGAAGTTCAGCTTACTAATTATATAACTACCTTCATTCTGATGTTTAGAGCCTGGAGGAATTCAGAGTCGTGAATTCTAAAACGGTGACGAGATCAAGAAATTAAAACAATAATATCGTTTTACCTACTCACGGTGTTGGAACGCTAGGGTATATACTTGTAGATATCCTCACGTGATTCTAGAGGCGTTAGACGGCAGTCATAAAACAATTAAAATAATCAAATTTAAGTAATTAAAACTTTGCATCTGTGCGTACTTAGATAAAAAAAGGATAATTTTTAAATTAGTATTGACAACAGGTTGAATTTAATAAAATAAATGTATAAAGAAATCAAACACGAGTGATTAACTGCTGAAAGTCGAAGCTAGCCATTCGAGAGAGATTTTCAAAAGAATTTGATGGAGCGTAGTTGTTGTGTACAGGGTTCTCGATAGAGTAATCGTCTTGGGATTTCTCGAGCAGTTAAGACGCTCGACTTTCAATGAAAAAACCGTTACATTTTATTCGTTTTAAGAAGCGAAAAATGTCATCCATAAAAAAAAGCGTTATATATTGATTAGAATTTTGTATAGAAATAATTATAAGGGTATCTAACGCGGGAGTATGATGACGGCACGGCGGTATCATAAAAGGGCTGACTGATGTTTTATATCTCTTATTGTCATTTGACTCGTATTGAAATGTTTCTATTGAAAGTAATAAATGAGATTTGGATCCTTCTCAAACAACGAAAAAAACGGTTAGTAATTGTGTGCTTAAAGAAAACGTCCCCACCGGCCTTCGCATCGGTGTCGATATAAGATAACTAACAATCGAATTATATTCGTTGGGGTATTGTATGGAAATTGCATGAATACTCAGAGTACGACTGTGACGGAAGCGCGGCAGTCCTCCGGAGGGCTGAATCGGATGTCGTAAAATTCTACTATATTCGAAACCCATTCTAAATTAATTTCATTGTAAAGAATATAACAAGTATTCTTTTTGAATAGCGAATGTTCCGTTATGTTTATTAAATTATTAACTTTTTTAAATTTAGTGTGCCAACTATACCCGGCTGCATTTCAATCTTTTAGTCACACTGTACAACTGTAACAATATAAATAATACATTTTGCATAAATATATTGAGTGCAGAATGAGCATACCATTACAGTTTTTCGTGCCCGATTTACATAGCTATATTTGTTCTGTCACGGTTGACCGAAAATAGCATTTATTTTTCTCCATTAAAAACAGTAAAATTACTATTATTATACATTTGCTACTAGTTGCTATAATATCAGAGTAATATTTCGTTACCTATACATAGTTTTAAGTATTTTGTAAATAGATTTTCATGTGTATACCAACTGACTTTTTCGAATAAAAGTAAGTTTGAAATTATTTTCTATAATGTATGAAGAAATTAAATTAATGTGGAAAACCAGTGAATACAACATACAAACACATTGTGTACCGAATATAGTAAGATAGACTGCGAAGATTCGAAGACAACGACGAATGTCTAATAACCGGTATGTCTAAATGTGTTGCCTATAATATATAGTTACTTATTTTTCAGAAACATTTTTCTATCTTATTTAAAAAAACGATTGTTGTATCATCATATTTGCACGTTCGTTTGAATTTTGCGATACCAGGAAGACGTTGGTACTTCTTTAGTTGTTATTTTTCTATCATTCTGTATTTAAAAGCTCACTACCTCCTTAGGGGGACTGAAATACCCCCTAGGGGGTAGTACCGTCTACGTCAAGAACCCCTGCTACAGGTAAACAGTAAAAAAAAAAACCGATAAAAAACAAACGGACATATTTCGCATGATGGGTGGGCTACTGTTGTTGGTAAGATGTTGTGAAGGTAAAGAGAAAAATGAGTCTAAATGTTTTAAAAGGCCGCGTATATTTTACGATTTGAAAATAATACATTTCGTACATTTTCCCGTTTTTCTTACGTGTTTTCCCGGTTTTCCCTATTTATTATGAATACCCCAGGGAAAATAAAAAAATTACCTCCTTAAAGAAGGACCACCGCAGTCATATTTTCTTTCAAAAAAAGAACTTGAAAATCGATGCAATAGTTCTGGCAGAAAAGTTGTTCATGGATAAAAAAAAAAATTATCATTGTAAAACCAATTCATTTCTCGCTCCGTTCAGAATCTAAAATATTAAACAGTATAACTTCTGCTAACGGTTACCTCTATGTATAACGGTCATTTTGTTTGGTTCCGTCAAATGTTGTGTCTTTATAAGACACCTCTAAAAATAATTTTTTCCGTTCCCTTCGGTGACCGTTATATAGAAGTTTTACTGTATTATTTTAATCTTCGCATTAATATACAATAAAACTTCCATATAACGGTCACCGAAGGGACCGGAAAAAATGACTGCTATTTAGAGGTGACCGTTTGCGGAAGTTATACTGTATTATGCAATATACCTTCCTAAATTTACTACACCAGTGACACATCTGTCCCCAGTATTAGATGTTTTTTTTTCCACTCTTATAGTTCTATATTATAATACCTGAGCAAATTATAAAATTGTGTAACATCATGTCAGATTATAGTTTAATATTGTAATATTTTAATGACGAACAAAATGTATTTGGTGGTTAATTAAGTAAACAATGGTTCATAATTAATTATGACGCTCAAAAATATAAGTGATATTGATAAAATTGTGATATTTTTAATATGTAATGTAAATACATAGTTGATTATTCATACACATTTACTGATTCTAACAATAAAAAAAAAAAATTTTTAATATTTTTTTTAGATCTTTAGCGAAGCGAGAAATAAACCGTTCTATATTTTATTTATTAGGTCTATAAACAACTTTCCTACCATAAATCTTCTTGTAATAAAAAACTTTATAGGAACTTTCTTTTAGTATTTTAGTTCTAGTTGGTGCTTTGAAGGTCATTTACGAGTTTTCTTCGTAGATGCGAAAAACTGGCAGTTTGTTGTATAATTTTTGTCGATTTCTGGTTTACCTTGGCTACAAAGGAATAAATACTCTGCTCGTTTTTCGGCAGTAATGATTTATACTCAATAAATCCTCTATTCCAACTTTTTTCCTCCAACAGTGGCACATCCACCAGCAGTATCGGTTTTTGTTTGATTTTGAGTGTATTTGAAATATTTTGTACAATACCGTTTATCCATATCGTATTATTTTAAATGCTTGTGTTTATGAGGATAGCTTGTTGGTAACAGGTTTACCAGACTGTCTAACGACTGTTGCTAAATATTTTTTTTTTTTATTTTCGGTTTCGATTTTTGGATTTTTCGTGCGCGTTCGGGGCGTTATGGTATACCGTTTAATCGGTATCTCTTATATAATATAACAATAACAAAAAAAAAAAAAAAAAACAACCCATGATTTTGCCCGTGTAACTAACTGTAAAATGTTATAATTTATAATGTATACTAAGCAATATTTTCCGAACGGCGGCGGTCGCCCGTCAAAGCGTTTCGTGATGGGACCGTCTATGCGCGGCGCGTTTCGACCGAACGTGGGAACCGAATTTCGTCACGACTTAACAACCGTAGGCGTTTTTAGGCGGACGAAAACGATTAGCGTGTTTTCGATAAAGCTATTATAATATTGTTATTTATTCGCGAGGGGTCAGTTTTGCCCGGACGGCAAAACAAAAGGGACGCGCGAGCGCAACCGGATATCATGCACGTAACCGTAATACCGTTCACGTTGGACAGGGTGATTGTGGGCGTGACTCTGTCCTAGGCCGAACTCCGTACGTACAAAATTTCATTTCGTTTGTTTTTTTTTTTTTTTTTTAATTTCCTCTCTAGAAACGTTTTATTTTATATATTTAAAACTTAAACGGGTCGTTTAAACGTACACCCGGACCGTTTTCGGTCCGTTGATTATATAAGCGGGGCTGCAGGGAGGTGATGATGGCGGGAAGGCGATTCGGTGCATTTTTCTTCTTTATTTGCAGTTCGTTAAACTTTTGAAACGTAATATTAATTGTATTTTTTACTATACTCCTTTACAGCGTACACAATACATATTATCTACTCGTACACCATACCCGAATTGATCAATGTGTTGTTCCCGTCAATGATCTCAGGGGAAAAGGGCTGAAATAAATTTTGTAGGGTTTTTAAACACGAGCTCTAATTAAATTTCGAATATACATACGCTTAATTCCATTTAGACCGAAAAATAAAGTAAAAACAATGGGCGCCGGGATGCTTGCAACAAATGACGTGTCCCGTTGTGTTTTTATCGGGGCAACATTTCTGGGAGTAAACATACAGCGTACAAATTTAAAATTACGAAATCGTAACGCCATCAATTCGTCAGTTTTCATTTCCCAACGACTTTCAAACGACACCGACAACTGAATTGTTTTTGTTGTTTCAGTATTATGCTCATAGTGGGTGGGTAGTGTAGGTACTCGTAGCGTGACGGCATTGCAATATCAAAAGCACATTAAACCATTCGGTTATATTTATTGTTTTATTTCTGTGCAATACAAAAACGGGCGGGGAAACATTCGTTTCAACGGCGCG